AATAGCAAATAGTAGTAATAATACCAATAATAGTATTGATGAAAATTGTAGAACTTACAAAGAAAGGCTTTCCGGTCTTGGAGTTAACAAAGTGCCTATCCTGGATCTCAATGATATCGATAGCAGCAGCCAGTCCGCTAAGGACGGTCATAGCACCAAGGGCAGCTGTAGAGAAACGCATATTGAATGATGATGATGATTTGTTTGAATAAGGAGCTTTGAAAAAAATGCTCTGGGTTGGTTTGCCGAAGGGCTGTGGGGGGTGTCTGTTAAACGAGGTTTGGTATCTAGCGGATGGACGAGGACAGTATGTCGCCTCAATTAAGTTTCGAAAATTAAAGAGGAAAAAGAAAGGTAAAAAGACCTAGGTATAGCGAGTGTCGTGAATGGGAGGAGAAATCAAGAGAGAAGAAGAAAGAAGAGAGAAGAGTAGAAATACAAGAAACCGTCGATGGGTGGGTGGGATGGGATGGGGGTTGGCACACTTCAAAAAGGGGAGAGTGCCCAGAGTTTATTATTTGCCCAGATTCCGCCCAGAGATTCTTTTTTATTTTGACCTGTTTCGCGATATGTATGCCAAACGGGGGATGGGCGGAGGTGATCGGTTCACCCGTTCGCTCTCACCCCAAAATTGCACTTTCCCGCGCGCACCAGCAGCATGTTTGCTGTAAGGGGAGGATGGACTGTGGTTGGCTGCATCCTCACACTCACGCGGGCGCTGCATGTGCAATATCAAAGCGTTCAGGTACCGAAATCTACAGGCTCCTTCTTCTTCCCCAGCGCCTGCAAACCAAGCGGTACTGCACCTCTAATTCTAATTCTAATAAACCTCCCTCTCTTCCTGATCGTTTCTAAATTTCCCTACGCCATCAATTCTACGAGGAAATAAACTCCATCTAGAAAACACCAGTAGATCTACAAGATGTAGCTTGCTCATTTCGAAGCGAGAACGCTCCCCAAGTAAACCCAGAAGGGACTCTGCTCTGCTCTGCTTTACATACCACCCCCTGGGGAATGATAGTTTAAAGCGGCTAATTAACGAGCGACAACGACCTGCTTGCTCTCCCCAGCTTCCTTATGGGCCATAATTATATTCCGCCTTGGCGTCGTGTATACGAAACGAAGGCCAAGAAACCACATATGTACCCAGATGTCGTGGGTCTCTCTAACCAAGAGCTAGCATGCACTTCACCTCCATCTCCACACGTGCAGCCCTCAAAATGCCACACCCGCCGCTCAAATCTCCAAAGCTGCTTGTACCTATCATTTCCACCTCGAGCTTCCAGCATGCCATAAACAACCTCTCCAGGTACCAGCAATTAGCTGAGAATAAGGTACCTCTCCGTAACTACCTCCAACAGCTCGCTTCGGCTCCTCCCGAATACCCCCCCAAACGTTCACGGCGCTAGCTACTCTAACTGCTCTGCTTTAGATACCTGCACCGCCCCCCCAGGCAAGCTGAGGCCAGTGCGATGGGTAAGCATAATCCGACATCTGATCGCCACAAACACCCCCGACCCCGGCTGGCCCCATAACCATACTCGGAACCCTAACCCATCAATGCCGGACGGAGTCCGATCCGGGGCGGGGGGTGGGGGGAGGGGGGAGGGGGAAAGTATGGGCCAAGAGAAAGAGACACGCGTTTCGTCTCGGCGAGTCAGTGACAGAGTTGTTGGTTTGGTTGGGGGAGAGGAAGTCTTGGTCTTTATGTTATTGCCGCCCATCATCATCTGCATCGCTTTTTTTTCCTTCAAGTTGGAACCTTGGGTTTGAGTCGAGAGAAGCGTGAGAGAGGTTTCAGGGGAAAGCAGAGAGATGAACATGAAACAAGCGCTAACCTTGCTAAACTAGTGCAGGCAGATCGTTTATCCTGCCAAGAGGTGGAGGGATAGAGGGGGGAGGGTTATGTAAAATTGATCTCGAAATGGCTTGCGCAGGCGCAGATATGAAATTGGAATTATTGAAAATAGATCACAGACAGACAAGACTGACTGACTGACTGACGGGCTGAACTGACGTAGGTAGAGATAGGGCACACCATCTTTTTCTTTCCGACCTCCTGCCTACCTCACAAACACGTCGGCCGGTCGCGATCAAGATCAAAACGTGGTAATGATGGCGGTTCTGGAATAATTTTTTTTTATCACGCCTCCATCCCATAATTCTCCGAAGAGGGCGGCGGTCACGACACCTTCCCTTCCTGCAGCCAGCCAGCGCTGAACCCTGAACCACTTCCAAGAAAATGGCTATCTGTATCCCACACAGCCACGAAACAGGGCCCGTTACATGCACAAATTTACCGCTTCGCATCTCATATCCGCATCGATATCGCATAAGGAGCTAGAGGATTCTGGTTAAGAAAGTAGGAACGCCAATCGATACGGTTTGGAGATTTCCCTTCCCACCCCCCACGCACGAGCCGCCGATGCAGTCGGTGTCTTGTGTGTACTCGTCATCCTGAAGCAGAACAAGAAGGACAAGAAATAAAGTACAGGCGGTCAACTTCCATGATATGGTAGGGTTTTTTAAGATGTGGATTGGCAGTCGTGCATAGACGTGGGTGGTTTGTTTTGCCATTGACGATGCAGAGTGTTTTGCCATACAGCGGTGACCATCATAGTCTCGCTACAGCAAGACGCAATGAAATCACCAGAATTCAATAGAGAATCCCGAAAATATCTCAAAGAAAACACGATGCTTATCGTAATAGGTACTACTACTACCACCGTATTCAGTAGACCCCAAGTTTTCGTACTATGCCTTTACCTAGCATTTTAGCTTTCCCGGACCAATGGTAATACGAGGTAGGCGGAGCCAAAAAGGGCCGAGTGATCACCCATGGTCCGGCGTTCTTCTCGAGATCAATGGTCTACTCTACGACGCAAAACATCCTAACTACCTTTCACATGTCACTACCGGGCCCTTCAAATATACTTGCTTACCAGAAAAGAACCAGAAAATACAGTTGCTCAGGGCAAGGATAATTTGTATGGTGTGGCGCCGTTCTCTCATACAAATAATCCCTGTTTCCGTCACTTGCATTTTGTGGTTCTTTTGCTGGTAAGCAAGTACAGTCCAGCAAATTTGAATCTCCGGTTCCATTGACCACTCATGGAACAATCTTAATCCGCAGCGGAGGATTTGATTGGGGGGATCTGCGTCCCTAAAGAAATTGACTCTCAACCCCCGCCCAGCCGGTGACGATACTTTTTTTTCTTTTTTTTCTTGTGTGTATTCATCACCTAGACGCATGACAAGAACGACAAGAAATGATACAGGTTTGCAGCTATATGCCCATTTTTGCCAGCCAGATGCTGTAAAATATTTTGCCGGTGCGGTATATTTCAATAATTCAGTACTAGAATAATATCAAATTAAAACAAAAATAAACAGTTTCACAGCCCCCAATTTCTCGTATTTTGACCACACAGAATACTTATAGCAACTACATTTACCTGTCTTTTCGCTCTTTACTGTACGAATACGAGGTGGTAGGCGGTGCTCCCCCCTCGTCTCTCGGATCCAGAAAGTCGAGTGATCGCGCATGGTCCGGCTTCTTATCACCCAGCTACCGAAAACCGGATCGCCAGATTACCGAGCGGGCTGGATATCCCAACGATCTGGCACCTATCACCTCCCTCTACTCTTCACCTCATCATTACAACCCACCCATTCAAGAAATCATCACACCACATCGTCACCTAGGTACTCTATGCTCCACCAACCAGAACCAGGCAACATGGCAACACCCAATTGCAGACCGTCACCATAATCTTGACGCACCTCCGCCAAACCAAACCCTCAAGATATTGCAATTACTCAACACAGACTCTACCGATTACCACCTTCTTCTCCCCTCGATTCCAGAGAGAGGACTGTAACATTCTTTGACGACATTGGGTAGACAATCACTAATTCACACAGTACATAGGCCAGCGCATCTAAGTCCTTATCCTTCACTTCAGCACATTACCCTATCACGGCGGGTGTTTCGTAGCGAGAATTTAACTTTTTCGTCTATGACAGGATATGATTGGATAAATCTACATTCCTTCCATGAAATCACGAATTATGAAAAATTATAACGAGGGCTCTGAGTTTCGGCCAGCAACCCCACCTATTTGCCCCCCCCCCCCCCCTCTTCCCCCCCCAAAAAAATCCTCTACAATCTTCCTCGGCCAAAAGCCCCAGTACTGTCCATACCTTAATCTCTACACCCCAAACTCCCCACCAATCACCTCCCAGCCTCACCACAACCCTACCCTTGAACCCCCCCCCCCCCCCCCCCCCCCCGGGGCAAACCCCACTAACAATCACCCAACCGCAACCTACGCCCCCGAACGCTCACCAGGCTACCAACCTGTCCATGGTTTATCAACAAGCCCCCACAAGGGGACCCGTCGGTTTTCAATAACAAGCTAGCAACTTGAACCGTTGGAGAGAGCGCGAGCAAGTAACTCGAGCAACGACACAGCTAGTAACTGTGTCTGTTGCTCTCTGGGAGGGGTAGGTTGGGGTTGGGTTGTGGGTAGGTATAGTGTATGTAGGTTAGTTGTATGTGTGCAGATGGGATGATTGAAATGAACAGAAAGAAGGTAACCCGGCCGTCGGGGGTCCAGAAAAATTTCATGTTGATTAAAGCCTAAATTTTCCCCCAGTTTTGTGCCTGGGGGGTTCTTGAAACATGCCTTTGGTGGAGGAGGGGAGAAAAAAAAAAAAAAAAAAGGGAACAAACCAGTGAATGAATAAGACAAGATCCCCACGAATAGCGACGAAAAGGAAAAGAAAAAGTCACGCTTCCAGATGCCAAAGTTTCCCAGGTAAAAAGATATATAAAAAACAGCCAGAAAGAAAAAGAAAAAAAGGTTTCACAAAGCAAGAACAAACCTCGTTCCAGTAATAGTAAGAAAAGAATAACAAAAAAACGAAAAAAAAGACGGGAAAAAAATGGCCAACGACATCCAGGAAGAAAGAATAAGAAGCAGAAGATGATATCACCCCTACTTCTCCTTCCACCTCCCCTTCACACTCCCCCTCGCCCCCGTCCTAACCAGTACCTCCGCCGTCTTACCCCGCTCCTCATACAGCGCCTTCAAATCCCTGACGGCCGCGCTGCCCACGACCGGCACATTGCGCTCCACAACCGAGCCTCTCCGGCTCTCGCCGCCGCCGAGGCTCACGAGCGTGCCCGAGCGGCTCCTGTTACTCCCAGCTGTAAGCTCTACCGTCTTTGCCCTGACCATCGGTACCGCCGCCGTGGGGATCATGCTGTCCCGCTGCAGGCTCGTCGCGGGGAGATTCTGGTTGGGATTGAATTTAGCGCGATTTAGAGAGTTTGCGATCGCAGCAACGCTTGAAGAGGAGATGGGGGTGGCAGAGGCAGTGGAGGGGGGAGAAGGGGAGAACGAGGTAGTGGAGGGCAGGAATGAGGACGAAACCGCTCTTCTCACGACCCTGGGCGGGGCGGAGGAAGAGACGGAGAGGGATCGGGTAAGGAATGGGTGTTGTGCATTGTGGGGGCTTAGGTTTGAGGATGATGAGTATGATGACGGACCTCTTGACAGTGTCCCTTCGTCCCTACCGCTACTGCCACCTGCGAGCGCCTGGAGACTCGCTTTGCGGCGCAACACTATTCCGCCAGGGGGGCCAGCGTCCGGATCCTGTGGTTGTGGTTGTGGTAGTGGTGGTGGTGGCGGCTGCATCGTGGCGCCGGGAGTGAAGGTAGAGGTACTGGGGGTTGAGCCACGTCTATAGACTACGGGAGGGGGCGGCGTCAAGACAGGTTGGGGTTGTATCGGTGCTTGTAGCGGAGACGATAAGGGCGATGGTGAATCTTCTCTGTCGACCAGTGTTTGCCCATCAAGGGATGGACGGGCGCTCTCGCCAACTGATTTCCTGGAAGGACCGACCCCACCGTCACCCCCTTTTCTCTCTGGGCTAGGGAGCTTCTTTCTTTGCACATTCCTAGATGCATAAGGCGGCGGAGAGGCTGTGGGTGTTGGGGGATTAATCCCGAACTCTATCGAGCTACCGTTAGAGCTGTGCCTCCCGTGTCCCACACTGCGCCTCTCCGGAAGTCTTGGGGCGAGCTCCTCAATTCGCTCAATGGCCACTTCGAGGAACTTGCGCACACCAGAGGAAGCCTTCGCATCTGCTACCATGTCATCTGACCTAATAAGACTAGGTGCTATACACACGGCCAAGTTCTTGGGCGTCATCTTGTTGATCGCCGCATATTGAGATACTAGCGCGAGGAGTGGAAGGAGGTGTTTCAACAACAAAGCTCGACTTGCCATTGGAAGTCCCTTTTCTCCTTCAAGAAGATCTTTAACCTTGGGGAAGATGTACTCTTCCTCTAGCCTATCTCCATCATCAGCGCCAGCTGTCGCGGGTGTGAAGGACATGAGAGTCTCATAGCATTCCGCCGGAAATATGGGTTCCGGGAGAGAACGGTAGTAAAGCTTTATCAAGGCGGCGTTTGTGTGAGGCCCCCACTCATCCAATTTGAGATACTGCTTACGGTCCACAGCCTCACGAAGAATGTCGAGAAGAGTAGAGTTCGGGGGCACGCGGAAAATTCCCTCAATATGTAAACACTTTGAGCGTACATAGCGTGATGTGTCAATGAGAAATTGCGGGAGCGGCATACCCTCACCAATACGAGGTGGGTTGGCAGCATTGTGGAATGGCGGGGCGCCGAAAAGAGGCGGGGGTGGAGTAGGGATGGTGATTGTCTGAGAGAGTTTACGGTCGTGGAAGTACACGACCGGAGGGATGTTGAGATTGGTGATGTTGAGATGGTTTGCGAGATCAGATAAGCTATTCACTGTGATAAAGAGGGGCTCTGTTAGCTCCAATTGCCAAGGAAGTTGTCCAAGAAAAAATCAATGGGCAGAGGGAATGCATACAGTGGACCACCTTCTTCCTGAACTTGACAGAAACTACACCGGCCATCATCTCAAAAAGAATACGGACCCAAGCTTTCTCATGGACAACCCACAGCCTGCGAATCCTCTTCCGCACCGCTCTTCCTAGCTGTAGATATAATTAGCTTCCATCTGAGTACCATAAGCTGTAAATTGTATATAATAATAAAAAAAAAAAAGAACAACGAACCAAATTGTAGGCTTGCAGTGTCCATGCCCATGACGGCCTATTTCCCTGAGATACACTAGCACCCCCATTATTAGTACCCCCCGTCCCCGGCATCCCACCCCCGCCGGAGAAAAAGACGACCGAGTAGCTCCCTCCCTGCTCCTCGGGACCCAGCTCGTCATCGGACGGGATAATGCTCAAAACATAGGGAAGAAGCTTATTATAATCGACCTGCTTCGCATCCGGAAAGCTCGCCGCGCAAAGGATCAACAGGGGCCCACCAGACTCGTGGTCGTACCCGGACCGATACAAGATGCTGCCCGCCAGCGCCGCCAGCGCGGGGTCATACGCCGGGTCATCCGGCTCGGGGGCCCTCATGGCCATGGCTGACGTGGAGGATGTCGACGTCGTCGAGTAGTCCGACACCGGGGACGTTGGGGCCGAGGACGAAACGCTGCGCGATGACGGGCGGTTCGGCAGGCGGTCGGGGAGCTTGGCGAACTGTTCCTGGGCGTAGCCGCCGACGGTTTGCAGCTTGTCCGGGAGCGTTTGGAGGCGGGAGGGGACGGACTGGAGCTTGTCGGGGAGGGCTTGGATTGTTTCGGCTACCTGGGGGAAGCGGTCTGGCAGTGCTTGGATTTGGCCTCGCAGCGTGGAGACGCGGCCCGGGACGGACTCGCGGAAGCGGTTGAAGGATTGGCGGGCTGATGAGGTGGTGGAGGAGGATGACGAAGATCCAGGGGGAGTGTAACGTTCGCCATCCTGGGAGTAGCGAGGATCCATGGTTGCTGCTGCTGCTTTGGCGGGAGGGGGGTTGTGGTGGGTTGTTGTTGGTGGTGGTGGGCAACAGCGATTCCTGCCGAATTATGCGTGTGTGGTGTGTGGTGTGATGTGTGTGTGTGTGTGTGTGTGTACTTGTGTGAGCAGACGGGTGCTGGCACCTGACGGACAGAGTAACTGACTGACAGGATAGACAGAATGGATGAAGGAGAAGAAGAAGAAGGGGTGGTGGTGAGGGTAAGATGGAGGGGGGAAACGAAACTGCCAAACGTGCTGTGCTGTATGCTGTGTGCAGCTTAAGCTTGCCGTTCGTCAAGGTCGAGGGTCCACTACTAACTATGAAAACACGTGCACAACAAACAACAGGAGAGAAATATAGAAGAAGCAGAAGCAGAAGCAGAAGCAGAAGCAGAAGCAAGCAGCAGCAGCAGAAGCGAGAGAACGCGGATCGTTTCTATGTATGCAGAAAATAGAACTGCTCACGTGATCCGGAATGCGCAACGTCAGACATCAAAGACATTCCCATGGAAGCACCTAGAGTGGAATGCTCGGAATGCCCTCAACCTCGTGCGGTGAATGGCCTGCATGGGGTGAGCATTGGCAATATCGGTTATCGAGCTTCAATGCTAGCTTTCAATGACATGATTGGAGCGAGCGATTTTGAAGAAGGGCCCTGGCTCTCCCAATTTCTCGAAATCATCATGGATACTCTACCTAGCTCTCTAGCTATCTCCAGCTCTACGTTGTTGCAAGATAAACCCACCACCACCACAGAGTAGGAATAAATAGGGAGTGATGTCCGCACACAGACACACGCTACGAGCCATTATGGAAAGCCTCCCCAACCCGAAAAGATTGGGGTATTTCGGTACCTCATTTACGAAGAACAATGGGGTGCCGAAACGAAAGACAACCTCCGAGAGCTGCTGCGCCTTGATTGCGATCGAAGCTGTCTTGTCTGTGGGGGAAGGTGGGTTGTTGGGTTGGGTTGGGTTGGTGGTCTGTGGAAGTGTGGAAGGTTTGGTCGACGGGTAATCACTCGGTTCGGACCTGCACGAAAGTGGAATCAAACGTCCGCCAAGTCTCCAAATAAAGCTCTAGATAGAGCTAGTAACCAAAGAGTCCCGCTCTGCAACTGCACCCACTGCACTTTAATCTGGCATGGACGGATATTTGAGTACACATATCTGGGGTACATGAGCTGCATATCCAAAGCTCCAATAAAACACCGCGGAGCAAAAATCCGGGGGATACATAAGAAAGTCTGCTGGGCAGCAGTAGCTAGCTGCATATCAACTCTCCCCCACGGCCACAACATCCCCCACTCCACCTACACCCTCCCATCGCCATCACCGCAAAGGTCCGAGTAAGTTTTAGGATCACCGGTACACCTAATGACACCACCCGTTAGCCAGATCGGCGGTAGCAGTAGTAGCAGCTCGGGAATTGGACACCCCCCCGAGTCACTCACAAGGTGACAATTCCGGGCGTGAAGCTCTCTTTGGCACAGACGCATTTCCTCATAGCGCTTTGGTCAACCTCTAGATCGTTGAGCAGGTAGGGCGTGTCTTTGAAGCAGTCGCTCATGGCTGCCACCATCTCCTGGCACTTTGGCGATCTGCTCGAGGGGTCGTCCTGGATGGCGGGCACTAACAGCTGGGGAAGGGCTGCGGCCGTTTGGAGGAGGAGGAGGGCGAAAACAGCGAGGTCTGGGGTAATGTGCATTTTGTTGTTTTTGCTGATGGTTCTTGGTCTTGCGATGAGGTTTGTTAAGCAGAGATCAATTTTTTTTCAGGAGAGGTCGTCAATTGCAGAAGCTTATCTACGCGGGCCTTTGACGCAATTCCTCGTTTGGAGAGAAATGACGACACTCCTCAGAAGCATTCCACTTCGTTGCATCGGGACAACCCTAACCCACAGCACCTGATCTGGGTCGAATGCTTCACCATGAACGCTACAGAATGGGAATATCCGGGTGATAAAGCATGAAAGCCAGAATAAATCTTCTCTACAGCTATGTACCTGCCCGCAATGCTTACTTCATTAATCCTCACTAATCACAATCCGTCGGATCCCAATCTACACCCCAGTCAGCCCCCAATCACCACCTATCACTCACCCCACCCCACCCCACCGCACCCCCACCACCACAAAAATAAAAAAAACAGAAAACTCACCAGTAACCAGCCCCTCATCCAGCGCATCCATCTTCTCCACATCCGCCTGCTCAATCACAAACCCATCCACGCCCGCATTCTCGACAATGCGCTCCCTCTTGACGCTCTTTGGCAGCGCCACATAGCCCTTCTGCAGGCTCCACTTCACCATCAGCTGCGCCGGCGTGCACCCGTACTTGCGCGACAGCGCCTGGATCGTCGGGTTGCGGAACCGCATCGCCCGCGCGAGCGGCGCGTAGGCTTGGATCTGGATGTTGTTCTGTTGGCAGAATTCCACCTGCTCGCGGGTCAGCTAGCTTGGAGACCGAAGAGAAGAAGGGGCGGGGTTTACGATTGCGGTCTGCGTGTTGAACGGGTGCACCTCGACTTGGTTCACCACGGGCCTATCCTCCGGACAGTCCTCCAGCAGCTGCTGCAACTACACCACCGCCGTCAACCAGCACCCACCCATCCACTCCTCCGCGGGGCGGGGGACAAAAGACCTACATGCCTAACACCAAAATTACTAACCCCGGCGCTCCTCACCTTCCCCTCCTTGACACACTCCACCACGGCCCTCCAGCACTCACTCCTCTTCGCCCTCCCACCATACGGGCTATGCAGCAAATACAAATCAATCCACCCCAGCCCGCTCTTCCTCAACGAGTCATCCACCGCGCGCTTCGTCGCAGCAAACGACTCGTTGTTCTGCAGCTTCGTCGTGAAGAAGACGTCCTCGCGGGTGACGCTGGGGTGCGTGGTGATGGCCGCGCCGACCTCGCGCTCGTTGTAGTACCATGCTGCGGAATCGATGGCGCGGTAGCCGGCGGTGAGGGCGTGGGTGACGGCGTTGGTGCAGGGGGCGCCCGAGGTCTGGTAGACGCCGAGGTGGAGGCGCGGGATGGGGTGGCCGTTGGGGAGCTAGGAGGGGGTGGTGGTGGTTAGGGCAGCTTTTCCTGGTAGAGGTGGAGGGGCGGACTAACGGTGATGGTGCTGGCGAGGGCGGGGGTGGCCATGGTCTTTGGGTGCGCGGTGCGGTGTGCTGTGTGCGGTGTGGGTGAGTCGGTGTGAGAGATTGTGGAGGTTCTATATATCGGTTTTATATATCGGTTTTATCTATGTGCCTTTCTCCACCGAGCGACTTATCCGGCGGATGATATCATTACACCCCCCCCCCCCCCCCCCCCCGCGGCGCAGTTGCCAAGAAGATGGACATGGCCTGCATTACTAATTACTAATACTCCAACTAATCGACTAATTGCCGCGATCCAATCAGCTATTTGCAACTAGTAGCTAGAGGGGTACATCTAACGCTGATCTAAAGTGCAGAATTTCTGGCGATGCAGGGTGGATCGCCGGGTTGCACAGGAGAGGTTTATAGAGCTTTGGGAGCGGCCGGTCGAGTATTTTCGATGCTGTTTTTTTTTTTTTTTTTTTTTTTGGTATTTATGGCCGACTCCCTCGTAATAGAGGCACGAGTTGAACAGAAAGTCGAGCACTTCGACATAAAAGCCCTGCACGTCTTATTGGGTGAATGATTGCAAATCCCTTCCTAAAACAGCTAACGTTTCTGTCCAACCTGCTCGACCTTCTGTTCAACTCGCGCAGCTAGAAGACTCTAATAGCCTGGGATAATCATTGTTCTTTGTTCTTGTTTATTTACTCGAAACCTCCGCCGCGGTGGATAGTGACTGCTTCCAGCACTGCATCTTGCCACTGTTTCATTTTATTATATATATATATACTCACCCATTAATTAAGTCCTGAGAATTCTTGGTAGCAACGACCTCATAAAATTTCTCAGGACTGAATTAACGCGCGAGTATTGTACCTGTTTATTTACGACATTCAATATCTCAGTCACAGACTATATATATGCTCAGAGACTCGTAAGGAATTCACCCAACATACAATAACCAATCACAAACACAGCACGGAACCACAACTTTCTCATTCCAAATCAATTCATATTTCAATAGAGTATCTACCCTACTCCGTCTACCTCTACCTTCTCCCACCAGCCCACCCCCCAATGCAATCCATCCATCCATCCATCCATAGCCAATCCAATCCACCCAACCAGCAAAATAAATAAATAAATAAAAAAAAAAAAGAAAAAAGAAATAAAAAAAGAAAAAAAAGAAAATATCCTCCACCGGGGGCGCGGCTGTCCATGATATCTACACCCTTTACAATCCACAATCTACCAAAGCCATCATCATCAAAGAAGAACCTTTTCCCGGGACCTGCATGCATCCTTGCGTCGTAATGACAAAGAAAAAAAAAAGAACAATAAGAAAAAAGGGGAAACATGACATAACAGGAAGAGATATCGACTTCTCAAAATCTCATGAGATGGATGGAGTCTGCTCCGGAATGAACAACCGTAACATATATCGCCCGGCCAGGAAGGCCGGATGATAAGGCAGTATACTATACATACTGCTCAAGACTAAAGATTATATACAGCCCACAGGCCGCCGCTCTGACTAACCCTGATAATAAGGAGTGGCAGAGTAGCGGTATCAGTCAACCAAGGATAGATGAGTAGAAAGGAAAAGAAATCAGCTTGGAGGACGGACTAGTGGGAATCTCAACGAGGTTGGAATAAATAAACCTCAAGTGAAGGAGAGGGGAAAAAAAACAAAACAGAAAACCACACAACATAACTCCAAAAGAAAATACCGCACCAATGACAAGGAAAAAAAATAAACCCCTCGCCATTTTTGCGCTGTTCAGCTTTCCAGAAATAACCTGCTCGAAAAAAAAAACCCAAAAGTACACATAAAACGCCGTCAAAAAATAAAAGGAGATAGAAATAGAAGGTAAATCAAAAGGGAAAAGAAAAGAAAAGAAACCAATAGACTATAAAACAAGAAGAAAATGTCAAGAATGTCCATTTAAAGCCACCTTTTGAGTGGCTCAATATAACGAGGGAAACATGTCCCCGAAGAAAAGAATAGAGAGGAAGCTTTTGAAAAAAAACAATAGCTAACTCCAGTAGAAATATACTGAAAAGTCCAACTGGGAGATCCCATGAATAATTATAGGTGTTGCTCTTAGTTCCCTGGCCTTAGCTAGGCGTTGGTGGCTGCGATGACTGTTGCTTGAAGGCATGCGCCCACGCGAACAAATCGATTCTTTGGGCAACTGAAGGTTGAGGTGGAGGTGGAGCTGGGGTAGATTCGGTAGTAATAGACCCTTGTCGTGACTCACGGGGTTCAAGGAGGAGTGAGCGCCTGTAGAGTTGCTGCACATCACTGGAGTTCGAGTTGTGAACTCTGGAGATTTGGCCATCGATCCAATCCTGCATTTCTGGGACCTCGGCAATGCGGTAAGGAATTTGAAACCTCTGAAGATCTGAAATTACTCGCGCAGTTTTAACATGCTTGTCAAAGTTGATGAGCTGTCTTGTAGAGCCGTCAATTGATACAGGCCTCTTTGAGGGGTTTCCAACATCGATAAAAGTAAGCTAGATAATCTTGTTAGTGTGCGAGAACCAAGCTAGAAAGGATAGGATAATCATACATCTGTCAAGAATGTTCCCAAAAAAGGCAAGCACGGAGGAACGTGGTTACGTAGCCTGGCGCGAAGAACAGCGTGGTTCTTTGACACATCAATTATTGATCTCAAATTCTCAAGTACCAACTTTGTCTTTTGAGAAACCAACTCCCACGTCTTCTTCAAACGACTGATTGTTGACGCATTTAGTGTGCACATGATGGCCATGAGTGAATCATAGTTGTTCAATTCCAGACAACGGTCCGCAATCTTAATCCAGTGCTTGATAACGACAGCTCTGCGTTTTATATCCGGAACATCTAGAATGGTTTCCGCAACGAGATGGGCAAGATCGGTAGACAAAGAAGACATTGCCAACACATTAGGAGCTGTTGAGTTATTCTTTTTGGTCCACTCAAGTGCAACAAGCTCCTCTGGTTTGATAGAGCAAAACATCTTTGACTCCTTCACAGTGAATTGCCTTGCAAGTTCTAATGGGTCAAAATCTAGTATCGTGGGCTGTGTACCAAGGCCGCTAAATCCATTTCGAAGAAGTTGGAGCTGATGTCTCGTGACGTTTGGTGTCGGGACAGGAGTCTCGGGGAGACTGTACTGTGCTTGGGCTGTAGCCTTTCCAATCCCAGATACTAGTCTGGGAACAAGGGGCCCGTCCACCTTAGTAACCTTCTTTGCTAGATCCTCCAATCGCTTTCCTGCAGCAGGCAAAACTAATTTCAAGTCGTCAGAAGCAAAATTGTTAATAATATCCAACGCTGCATCATCAATACCATGCCTCCAGTGGGATTCCAACCACCCCTTGAAGACATTGTATACTCTGAGATGTACTGGGGATGCAAGACCAGTTCCCTCATCTGCCTCCTCGAAACGTTCTACCAAAGCAGCAGCAAAATCTTGAGGAGTCGTAAATTGTCGGAATGTCAGATAGAAAGTGGCGACGAAAACCGCGTCAGGCGTTGAATCATGAATTGTCAATCGCTCTACGAGCGACGGAAGAGTTCCGCCAATGATCTGGCCATCTTTGTTAAATGCCAAATCTTCCGAGTGACACTTCTCCATGGAGGACAAGCTCGCCACACTGCTCTCAACAGATATCTGTCTTTCAATCATAGGTAGCTCAGGATTGAGAAGTGGTGTCGCAATACTAGTAGATGAGGCAGGCTCTGGAGTTGTTGCACGAGTCGAGGTTTGCGATAACAGACTGAATTCAGAGCATCGCATGCTGCTTGAGCCAGTGCAGTCGGTAGCAGTGCATGAAGCAGCGCCAATGCTATCAGCTCTGGCAGACTTTTGAGCGGCCTTCTCATCGGCTTCTCGTATGTATTCACCTTGTGTTAATAAAGGAGTCAATTGAGGCAATGGAGGCAAGAGTGATGTGGTGGAAGATCGCCGGGATTCTGGCTTAACAGGTGGAGTTGCCTTAGTTTCTGGAACAACGGGAAAGGGATAGCCTTCTGCAGAGATAGTCTTGTCGCTGTCAGTCGAAGTGGCCTCTGTCGGGAGTGTCGGAAGAGGTTTTTGATCATTAATATCCTCTTTTGTTGGAACTGGTGGAGGAATTTTCTCTGGCACAGTAGGTGGCGGAAGTATCGATTCCCGCTTAACCTCTGCTTTTGCCGTTTGCGCAAGTCCAAATGAACCATTGATTGCCGGAGACGCCGGAGCAGTCGATATCCCAAGTCCAACTCCGAATGAACCCAAATCTAATTCAAAATCGCCTATCCTCTCAATAACAAACTTTGACTTTGCTACACATTCACCAGCTCCACGAACGCAGCCTGTTGCTGCATCCATCAACTTCTTTCCATTATCAGGTATTATGATTCCTTCTTCTTCATATTCTTCTATCCTCCCAGCAACAACTTCTTTGGCAGCCGATACCAATGCTGTCATGCGTCCGTACATAGCGTCTTTAGCTGACGCCAGGGCTGCTGCCTTTGTATCTCGCGCGTAGATTGCTTCAACAACTTCCAGAAGATCACGTGCTGCAGTAAGTGAATGTAGCTGATAACGTTGGAGTCCAGGTGTAAGTCGAGCTTCGCTGCATAGTCCACCCATATATGATCCAAGCCAGGACAGAAGGATGTCGTGGGTGGTGTTTAAACGAGCCAACGCATAGACAGGTTTTGACTGGCTACCAGTGCTGCGATCGCCTTGTGAGCATGGGCTTCCAGCGCGTGGCGTCTGTGAACAAGGCGTTGAAGGGAGAGGATGCGAATCTTGCCTTCCGCCGGTCACATCATGGGGTGTCGATCTATTTTGCTGATCACGGGCCGAGAATGGCGGTCTACCCTCATCGCTGTCGGTTCCAGGGTTTGTTTCCGAAGTTGTGTGTAACGATCTACTCGCTAAATTGTGTGTGGTTGTATCTGCCGGTGGAGTAGGTGGAACAGCATCTTCGGTTTCTGCGTCGTCTTCTTCGTCAATCTCATTATCGAAACCAAATAGAGCAATCCAATTATCCAAGAATTTAACACCACGAAGAACAATCTTGAATGTTCGCAAGATTATTTCGTCCAACAAATCCTCCAGAGAGCCTTCATTCAGGTGGTATTCAGAGTGCCCAGGTAGTCGTTTACCGGCCTTGATTAGGTGGGAGACTTCGGTCAATAGTACCTTTCGTGATTTGCGGATGATATTGCTATTTTTGACAGTTGTTGCTTCTCGTGTAAGACATTGAGTGCTCTCCTAAATGAAAGCTATTAGAATGGTTCGTTCAAATTCCTCTATATTGCATAATCTCTACAATGTTCACTTTGGAATAAATCGAAGCCTATTCGTGTTAAGCTTCGTAGCTTCTAGAAAGAACCTACCAGTAAATATCTAACTCCAGCCACCACATCCCCCACCAAACTTTGACTAAGTCTAGGACCTCCTGCATTTCCCGTCTTGAATTGATCAAATAAGTTCATACAGGCCTTTAAAGCCAATTGAATCTGGTCTAAATCGTACTCTTCACAGTAATTTGTTGGTAACCATCCCCGAGCCCCCGAACTTAACATTGTCCCATCTGCCCAACCATTCGTGTGTATCGAATGAACTAATATTAAATCACCAGCGTTGAGTGGGAGTGTTACTGTTGAAGAGTCTGCTGAAAATGTTGGATGAAATGGGAAAAATGCTCTGACGAAAGGTTTAAATGCTGGAGTGGAAGTTGAGGAGCGAATGTTTGTTATTTTTGTTTCTGTTTCTGATGTAGCAAGAGAGTTTTGGGATGTACTAGGTGTTGGGGGTGGCGTCATCTGTTGATGTGATGATTGAGATTGAGTTCCTTGAGACTGATTTCTCGAGTGATGGCTTCGAGGGCGAGACTTTCGTGATGCATTGCTAGATGTCCTCTTAGGTTTTTGTATACGTAAAGGTGCCACATAAACACTTTCGTGTCCTGAATAACGGTTTTCTGCCATGGTCATTATTTTTTTTTCGTTTCGATGATGATGTTATAAATCGTTGCTGCTCATCCCAAATTGGATTGATGGCTAGTAATAAGTCCAATTGTAAATCCAAGTCAGGGACAAAATCCGTCACGCGTCGATGTATATGAGAGGTAACGTCGCTCAGCAAGTAACCTGGGCGCCGAAGAGTAAGTAACTTGCTATCAAGTACGAGCCCCTCAAAAAAAAAAAAAAAAAAGGCCCAAAGCAGCGGGGATGCAGGAGACGAACCCTTTTACAAGCTCTTGATAACCAGTAAAAGACAGAAGCCGGTAACCGAATGGTGCTGTAGTGATAGCTGCCAGGCTCTCTACACATGCAGTGGGCAGAAAAGTAGCCGAACAGACACGGAAACCTGCAGTCCTCGCGGCCGTAACATACAACACTCCCCAAATCCTCACGATTGTGAGTAGTTTATCTCTTTCTCGTTTCTCTACTCCTCGAGAATGTAAATCAAGGGAATGGAAGAATGAATAGGAATGCTGTCACTGTCGGGGAAATCAGTGGAATGGGGTAGAAGACCTCCTGGATCTGAGGGACGAACTTTGCTATGTACTCGTATGCACGGGATATTAGAAAAGAGGAAGAAGACTCGGAAGAACTACCGATGATCGCAAAAGAACGGGGGGCAGGTAGGCGATTAGATTAACAATAACGAGAACCACTGGAAATCGATATAAACCCAAAACAAGAAGGGAAGCATAGAAGGGTTCGCCGAGGCTTGTGCGTTCAAGACTTCGAGAAAAAAGGTGGAGGCAAGGGCAAGAGTGATAAGATGAACGAATGAATGGAAGGACCTCGCCCACTTTTTCTCCCACTGTTCAATAATAAAACAGATTCGCGGGATGGCCAGAGCGGTGTCTACGCAAATCACCAAAGCCCAGGATGGAGATGAGAGATGGAGATTCACGCATTATTGTATGGTAGAGTAACTCGCCTCAATTGAAGGTAGCATCTTGGCTCTATCCTTAGAAGGGTTAGATATTTCCTCAAGGGGAGAAGTTGGTTGGAGATCCCTTGCCAGGTTGGGTCGAACTTCTCTGCTGCCCGTGCTGAGGTTGCTCGGAACTAACCTGTGAAGGCTTCATATCCAAATCTGTTCCTTTACCACCCGATTACTCCACGCACCGACTCAAAGAAGAATCATCTCAAGTGAGTGTTCATGGGTTATTACTACCCCAGTGCCTGCCGAAGCCCTGGCAGTGAGTTGACCAGGTACCTACGGTACCTAGAGTAGTAGGAGTTGTTGTTGTTGACCTCTCTATTTCGTGCCGGTAAATGAGCAAGGGGCGGCATGTGTGGGGGCGAGCTAAACTACATGCATCAGGAGCTTCGTTGAGGGAACCTGAAGATCTCAGGGCGCTTGACTCGAACCTATCCAACAGGTGTTCGGCGAGTTGGCCCTAGAGGAGAGAAGCCTTCCTCCATCATCATGCGATTCTGAAATAAGTAGACTACCAAGAGTTCAGACGGGTAACCAACGGCCTAAAAGAGCCCTCTTTAACATGCCATTGGACCCTGATTTAGAACGCGATTTGGAGCTGATACAATGGATTCCCGCGTGACGACGAGATGCTCTGTCTGTACCGTCTCTCTGATCTGATGGCGAATGAGGTATCATGTAGGTACTCTACATGTACTCTAGAGCATAATGGCTTACATTCTCCGACCGGAAAAGTAGTTCTTAGCATATGAGGTAAGTTAATATCACTCATGCATCCTGGGAGGAACTTCAACGACGAATGGTTATCTTGTATCGAGGTTTGAAGAAGAAAAAGCGCACCACATTTGTGAACGGTGTTGGGCTTGATCCAACACAACTGTCCAAACTCGACGACAACCCCTGTAACTGTTGTTTCTTGGGGGAGAGCTACAGCCAGCTCACTGAAGCGAGTCCTGTTTAGTTTAAGCTTCTCACCTTTCGTTTGTTTTTCCCTGCCTCTTTTCCTTCTCTTCGCTACGTCCCGGCTCATGGCGGCGGCGAAGGTGGTTGTGGTGGTGCAAGTCAGGTCACGTTTCTGAGACGGTTGCTCTTCCCTTGACACTTATGCTTCGGCAACTTAGAGGCATCTCCACCTCCGACCTCACGCTAGGTAGTTAAAGCCAGAGTCTAATTCTGCACCGACGGGGATTAATCTAAAAGAATCCTTCAAAACATCTGTCTTGACTTGCCAAGGTGCTACTGAATATAGCTGCTGAATGTCAGTATAGCATACTTTACAGCAGCCCTGAAGGATTGCAATCGGCGATAATCGTCATCATGGGTGATTAGAGCAACAAGTAGACTGTAGAGCGTGTAGTATTAGCGGTTAGGATCAATGTCGCCTCTCGTATCGAAAACTGCAGCCAAACTAAAAAAGCAAACCGAAATACTTTAATCTGACTTCCTACTTGCGGTGCCAGTAGCTCCGTGATCTCTTCTACATATGTTAGGCGTATACTCCCCGCCCATCCCCACCACAAGGCTGCTCTCCATCAACTGTCCTTCTCTTCTCATCGTCAACCTCATTACTGCCTCAAAGTCTAGAACCATATGCCATATGCAAACTTTTAGACAGTCCATATCGAGGCCAAGGCTAGTCTATCTCGCAAGCATAATCTCCTTTCAAGCCAACCCTCTCGCTGTCGCCCGAATTAGCAATACCCCTTTCATCTTTCCTTTTTCTTTTTCGGCACTGGGACGGACCGAAAGGGTATTTCCGGCGAAGCTACCACTGGATAAAGATTGATTGATGTCTTGAACCAGCACCATAATACTGGGCCTACTAGTACACGCCTCATCTCTTGACCAATGAGATCTGTCGGGGCGAACACCGGGTCTCACGACAACACTTTTTGCTAAACTTCCTTCCTACTTCGACCCCAGAGATATTCGAGGATGGTATAGTTCGTGATGATCTTAAGAATGAGAAAATGCTTTCTTGAGCAGATGAAATTACCATTCATGCAACGCTCTTCGTCGGGCCGAAAGAATCTCGCGCTGCTAAGTTAGTAGGTAGGTAGAAGGTTTTTCGATAGCCACTGTTCCAGGAACCAGGATCGTATCATATCCAATCACCCATCGGGCCGAAAAGGAAAGGCTCGGTTCACTACGCACTGCGCTGCACACTGAAGGAGTTGGGCTCACCTTCTCGACCTGGGCGTGGGGAATCGAGCGAGCAACAAAGGGGCTCGTTCCTCCTGCCCTGTCTGCTTACGTTTCCCGGAGCAAGGCCACCAAGATGGAAGGTGTGGGGATGCGAATCCAGAACTATTTTACTGTGACCGTTAGGGGCCGAATTTGTTTGACTTAGTGTGTTTCACGAGGAGAGAACTAATTAGCTAAGCTCAACGGTCTGGCGAGCCTTGGTCTAGAGGTGAAGATTGGACTGAAGAATTAATTAAGGGTCTACCTATGGCAGTGCAGAGACAAAGCATCATACCGCTCCGAGAAACAAATCTTCGGCAATCGAATTGAACACAGACGATTGACATCGGAGCCTTGAGCTTGATGAAGATTTGGTATATCGATGCAAATGCAAAGACACAACATCCAGGTGTCTATGTCGCACGCAAAAAACGTTCCGGACCCTGTGTGGGAAATATTGCGTGATTTTTTTAACGTCGACACGGGACAAAGGAATACGTAGGATCTGCAATAATGATGCCTATGGAGCACATGGTTCCCTATGACGATTTTGAAGAAGTCTCATCACTCCGGAGCTTCTCATACGTACACATGAGTGGTAGGCACTCGTCCAAACTTCAAAGCTCCGAAACAAAGACTCGCACACGCTTTACCCACTGGTTTGTGAAGTTCCTCTACTGGTGAAGCATAGGTCGTCTGGTGACCGACCAGCCATTTGCAATTGTATGATCACAAATCGACCAACAGAACGTATGTTTCGCGCGTTAGAAACTGTAAACCCTATTAAACTACTGGTCAATTGAAAACCCACTGCTATTTTGTGCACGGTCTAATAAATTTCAACTATTATCTCCACACTCTACAGATTCTATTGATAATTGATATCGGCTCCCTAAATTAGCTCTTCAGATCTTTATAGTCGCCGTTTACCTCGGTGGTGCGTTGAGCACCCTTTTGGGCTCGAGATCCGCACTTGAGAAGTTAAGCTCCGGAATGTTCCTGGGTAACATGAAACGGCACTAGCTACACGTTGACTATGTAGAGAAGAGAGAGTCCCAACTACATATCTTGGGCTCACTTTGACGACTATCGGTAGTATTTGGCGCGCACGTGTAAGGGTTAATACATGCACAATGTCATACAGGAAAAATTAATACTCGTAATTTCATAACGTTTCCGAACACGACCAATATTGCATGACATACAAAAAAGTGGATTTGGTGCTTTTTTGTATGGCATGCAATAGCGGTCGTGTTCGGAAAGGTCATGAATATACGAGTAGTGAACTGAACTGAACTGATCAACAGTACATACAGATACTTCTCCAAACCCCCTTACTTCGGTGGTTATCCGTGTGCGCGATACTTACAATGCTATAGGGCTACTTTCTTTTTATATCCCTACTATTTACTTGAAACTCGGCGCGCGCGCACTGGCAATTACCGTACATACAACGTCACTTTAAAGTCCTTCTGGAAAAGGAGAAGAAGCGGATGCGGGCCCGTAATGAAGAATCCTAAACCGCCCTCGGCGAGTTAAAAATAGGGTAGGTTTGGGATAGATCTTGCGATATAATGTTGCGCGATAGTGGTGTGGTTCGGACATGAAATATCACTCTTGTTTGAAGAGCGCATGTGCGCCTTTAACTTGTCGACCTGGTTTTTCGAAGGGATAAGTCCTGCATTGCATATTCACTGTTCCTGGTACAATCAACTGGAAAACACCTGCGGCCGGGCTGCATTTGGTTGAAAAGCACAATTTGTGCAGGTATGTTTTCTGGCGTGTAAAGCTTGTCAAAAGATCTGGAATTGGCCGTCTCTGGAAGTTGCTGACAACCACACATCACATGCAGATTTTTGGCTATTTCCACACCCAAATTCCATCAAATGTGGAGAGACATCCTGTATGTACCAAGTACATACCACACACACATACTAGTATGCATGACGTAGGCCTGTGCTTCTACATCTTCCTTCGCTTGGGTAAAGGAACCCGTGGTGACCGAAGAGCTAATTGGATTGGAACCCACTACCACCGCTACCCAGTAAGTCCACCGCTTCCTTGCAAGGGAACATTGATTGTTAACGCACCCCAGGTTATAATCTTCTTTCGGTATATGTACTATCTAGGGCGAGTAGATAGGGTTGCATATATTAGCTCATGGATATTGGAGCGGCATCATATGCAGGTTGATCCATGGGTCATGGATCCTACATACTACATCACCACCCACCACTCGCGGCTCGTATTGATATAGTATTGCACTTTCAACAGTCCAAGAAATATGCCTCTTGAACCCCATCCCTTACTTTGAGGCTCGGAAGTTCAAATTGAAATCCAATACCTTATGCTCGAGAAGCAAGGGCGGGCTGGGGAGGGGGGAGTGAAGGCGAATGGGCCGTTTATTCAGCTCGGTACGGCTACAACTGACCAATAAGAGCGCAAACCCGGTACGTACAGCGAATTTCGTGAAGCGGCGTTGCGAATACTCTACTGACTGGGCCGAGGCCAGCAGATTATGTGAGATGATAGATGATAGGCTAATATACCTGAGGAAACAAAACAAACAACAAACAATCTCGAAAAGAAGTTGCGGGGAGCGTCCGCACTTGAAATGACAGGTAACGGCCGCCCCCCCCAATTGGCCAAAGCATCCCTGACCCTGCCCTACTGCCCTGCTTATCCTGACCCTGCCGCGCGGATGTGGCGCCATCAGCAATATCGGAAACCGCACACCACGGCCGAGGATGAGCATGACAGCTGATTTCTACATGTATCACCCCGGGGCCACCAGTAGTAACGTGCTGATGCTGCTATATATACATTCACTCTTAGTAGACAAAATTATCTCACTCTTGCCACTTGACGAGGAACTAGCAGAGATACCTAGGTGGGGTGGGAGATAGATAGAGTCCTCCCGCCGCCGGCGGCCGAGCCCCTCATATGGGGAAATTGCGCTTTGTTAGATGGGGAATCTTTCGGGAAGGTTGGATTGGATGATGCGGTAAATGAGCTCTTGCACCAAAAACACACCGCGCGGGAAGTCGGCAATACACTATACCGTATCGCGTTATTGGGGGTTCGTATATAGTGAGAGGGAGGTACTGTATTGACGGTACGGTAACCTAATATCATGGGCAGATAGGTACATCTGGGGGGAGGGAGGGGAGGGGGATATGGTACGGTAGCTTTTCCGGAACGACGGTGTAATAATGCATGCCGTGGATCGTATTGTGTTTACTTTAGCGGCGCACAATTCTCCGTTGCTAGCTTCGCTGCTGGCTGGGAAAGATGGAGAAGAGATTAGAGGTGTCCGGAATAACGGGTTTCGGGTTGAGTATCAGGTGAGTGGCAGGTTTAGGTGGCTTGTGCGTAACTATACGCGTGCGTGCGCGCGTTGGTGGCATTTCACGATTCAGGGTGACCTGATATTGACTTATAAATGCGTATAGACGTACGTGCGGTGGCAACCTGATCGGACCGGGGCTTCATGAAGGGAAGTGGCAATGTTCTTTCGAAGCTTAGAGTTGGCTAATTGGGTAGTCTCATTTACAGCGTAGCGAACCCAAGAAGCTGGGTACGATTCTATTAGTTGAGATATAGCTATGATTTACCAAGTACCATATAGCGGGAACACCAGAATCAATGATAGAGTACTCTACATAAGTCTCGCACTGGATGCGGATAGCGTAACATGGTGTTTTTTCTGGCGCGATCATTGCTCTTACCATGAGGATGCCGTACCTCGATATGTCTCATGTTCAAACTATTCGTCCCCTGCACCGTGCAACGTGGTCGGTGATGTTGACGGTAGAGGTAGATCCGCAAGAAAGCAGTTGCCCAGCTAGCTTATTCTGTTTCATCGTCTATATTCCCTGGGTAGCAATTTTCTCGTACTCTACCTAGACTGTGCGTTTTCGGCGCTGGAGCTGCGACAAAGAACTTGCGAACGTGGCTAGCTCCACCCCCCGAGTAGTAATTTCCCTAGAGAGCCCTCTCCCCCAAGTAGCCATCTCGCAAAAGAAACCGAGAATAGCTACATGCAATCTTCTCTGCTACGTTTCATCTCATATCTATGTGATCGTTTCAACCCGTCTGCATAGCCCATCACTCGGCCGCGCCACCCCTAACCCACTGCACCACACCTCACCTCTCGCATCTTACTCACTCTCACCCGCCATCTTACTCACTCTCCCCCACAACATCACTCCGTCCACTGCCCTACTCTAGAAAAGTCCATCTGATGGCTACGCACCCAGGTTTCATCCCGCGCCAGAATTTCTTTTTTCCCCCCTCTCCCAGTACGAGCACTTTCCCGATCTGAAAAGAAAAGAAAAGAGCGCAGCGGAAGTAGCCGCACCGTGGTAGTGAAGAGATCACCATCTGCAGGGCGGATAGATCGACAGTAAAGGTAATATGGGCAGAAAAAGCAAAGGGATGACAGCCAGTGACAGGTGGGCAGAGATTTTGGTGCATGTGGGGACCGTGGGCCGGTCGGTCGGTCCTGTTGCAGTGTGCCTATGTTGAGGGATTTGCTTTGTTGGTGGTGGTCGCCCGATCGGCCCTGTTATGGTAGAGTGCGCACAAAATCGGGGTGAAAGCTCTGTACAGTAATAGTACATGTGGATGGCTGAAAAAGCACCGAGTTTTTTTTTGATATGGCACGCCGGGTGACTAATTTTCAGCGACACCGCGTATCACTCGCGGTCGCCTATCGTAAAATAAGTAGCTCAGGGTCTTTAAGATCGTCGCTGCGGGTTCAGAAAGGCGGCACCATGGGCCGGATATCCGTCTTCTGGTATTGACGTTGATATCGCGCGACGGGCGTGTATTTTCGAATTTGAAAGACGTAATGAAGCCTGACATCAGTTATCACTCGGTGCAGAACGATGTGAGTATAGATGTGGGGGCATTCTAATGAATGGTATTGCATAATACATTAGCGTCGATAATATAAATTATAAGCCTCACCTAAAGGTTATAGAGCATTTAACTGGAACAGGATACTGCAAGGGTCTTTTCTATACACTAACCTCCGGTAAGTTGGCTGCATATAAACATATTTCAATACCTTCCCTCCCGGATAAGAGCCCGGGAACCCTTTAGTAATATTGGCCCGTGGAGGTTATCAGCGCGCTGCATCCTATCTTAGGCTTGTACTAGCACCGAGTATCACTCAATTCCGCCCGACTAGTGATGGATATGAGACGAGACGGAGCGTGATAAGACCGTCCACTCGTCTTGCACCCCCCAGATCGAGCCCGGAAAACCTGAGACAAGCGAAAAGTCCTCATAGTCTCGAGAATCTGTAAAGAGAATATGATTCTTGATGGTTTTGTGTTGGGAGTATGGTTGGAGCAGACGCGTACACCCGAAATATTAACCTCAATTTGGAAATGATGTTGAAAATATATTTATGTGGTGAGAGCCAAAAGTGTCTCAAGACTCCTGGGTCTTAAAGTGTCTTGCATCGCTCACCTCCCAGCATCATCTTGTCTTGCCCCAAGTCTCGAGGTAGACTGTCTCATGCTATTACTATGCCCAATCTACTACCAATATTGGTGGAGCGTGGAGCTCGCTGAGTAGGGATATCTGCTTGTAAACCCAGAATGAAATATAAGATTTAAATACTTTTGTCAGGCGGATATGGATTAGCTGTGATATTGAGTGTTTGTATGCGCAATGGGTATACATACATGTATTTCTTTCGAGCCCGCATATGTATCCTGGATGCACCAGATATCACTCACTATCTGACATCGATTCTGAGTTATGGCTTGACTGGTTTATGGAGTCCTGGATACTCTGCATGTAAATGAGACGAACTCTTCATGTGGTATCCAGAAGTTAAATCCGAGAAAGAACTCATGGAGGAAAGGATAACTAAGAAACCAAATTCTAGAACTTGTAGATATGTAGAGCTTATTAAAATTTCAGCAAAGTAGGATCGATGTTAGGAAACTTACAGATGGTATACGTAAGGTCTGTTGGGAAAATTCTTCATTGAATAAATCTGAGTATAACGAATCTGGAGCTAGAGTTCGAGTTTACTTTGATTGTGCGAGTCTCGGGTTCCTGAGTTTAAAATAGAAAGATGTCACGGTTAAGTGAATTATTTGGTGAGACAGGTTGCTAGCTTCATAAAACAGGTTATGAGGAGACATGAGTCAGTCTGAACCGAGCTTTGGGCTTCAATTGAGAGCGAACTTTTCCTTTGGGTTTCCCGGTCCGGTGGAAATTCCCCCCCTCGTAGTTTGGTTAGAACAAGATCGAGAAGTGAGTTGAATGATTAATAGACATGGGAGGATATTAGCTGGATATATAGCCACGGATTGAACAGGACAACACGCAGATATGTCGTGTTTGAATACGATTTCGCCATCGCTTTAAAAGCCACACATCAAACAACGTTGCTGGGGTGCGGCTTCTGAGTCTAGGAGGATATACGTGGCCGTAGAAGTGCCGCCTGATATTGAGCAGTTTATTATATTGTAGTTAATCAAGCAACAAATTTCATTTACCTTGAAACTTCAATAACTATATCCAACAAGAGTGATCTGAAGGAACCGAGTGATATTTCATGATTGAAAGGGTGTTCTACAGTGAATAGACTGGTGCACTGAAGAAAATAGAGAATATAACCCCCGAGGTTTGTTGTTTATGGAAGGCCAGTTGGTCACGGGAGTACCTCCTGTTCGTCAATAGAGCTAGCCACAATCAACTCGTTGTATATATATCTTAGAGAGGGGAGTGTGCATAAGCAAATTATCCCCACCCCCCTCCCCGCTTAGATCTAATCCTATGATTGTTTACACTCATTGTTCTTCAAACTTGCTCTTCTAGTTCTCAGGGTCATCCGTACACCGTGACTGGCACAAGCTCCGGATCCGGCGATTACAAGATCACGAGTCAAGGTTGAAATGAAAGCTTTGGCTCCACAGGCCTACTTCATAACCCCGTAGAAGTGCATCATATCTTGCGCCGGGGTATATGCCTCGAAGCAGCCCAAGGAATACCGGTCTTAACTATTAAGGCCTTATCATTATCACCGGCTCATTGTAAAACATCGTATGTGAATAATCACATAGTACCGAGAACCAAGAAGGATTATTACCGGGGAGTAACATGTAATGATGGGCACAAGACAACTTTGTCTCAAAACTTAAGGCCAGACAAGGGGAGAACCAGGGGGTTAGTGAGACAAGACACTCCAATTGCAAGACGCAACTTTCAGATTTCCATCTTTCACTGCCGTGCTAGTTAAAATATCATGCGGGGACCAAGGTCAAAATATTCATCGACCTAATCAGCCAACTCATCTTTTCTTTTTGGCAAAGCTCTCGACTTCCACGAGACAGTGAATCCAGACCATGGAGAGACTGTTCTAAGTGCTGGTCTTGTGCTCATCGCTGTAATCCAAGACGAGAGATCCGCCCCCCCGTAAAAAAAAGAAGGAAGTCCGTCCTCCCGGGAATACATCTTTATCAGCCAGCTCAGCCCTCAATTGGTGGTAGCTGCATGAGCGTTGTGTGGGTTTTACCTACTTACCTCTCCCAGGAGTGGAAAAGGTTTTGTCTTATGTCCTCCTCCCCCAAGAGAGATCGATCTTAGACACGGGGGCTGAGATGTAGATAGATCGTATGGTCTTCCCAAATTGAGATTTAGTTAGGGATATGCAGTTGGCAGCAGCAATGATTAGTATGGTCACCTGTATGTATAGGGTTAGGGTTGTGGCGTGAAAGTAGAACATTCTGCTGTAATGATGTCACTAAAATCAAATAAAATCTGCGGGGTAAACATGTATCCTTAACCACTGTTGCACGCTCTCATGCGGGAACAGCAAATCCGAATGAAAGATTGGCTAGAGATTGATTCAGACAGAATAATTGATAAAGATTTGTTACTAGCGTCAGCCACGACCTTAGCCTACATAAGGGGGAGTGCAACATCTATTGACAGGCAAGGCTAGAGAGATTCGATTACCTATCCTTTACGCTGTCATCCAAAATACTAACCCTTTTTCGTGAGGCCGGTCGAGATTGTGGCTTTTTCCTGATGTTTTTAATCTGAGTCAACCTCCACCAACCGCCCCTGTGGCTTTACAGTTTCCGGTAGAATTATTGCGAAAGTGGGTTCCCCGTGACCCGATAGTCCTATTGGCCCTTAAAAGATTTTTGCTACGAGCACAGACCAACAAAACCCACTCTTTTAGCTCTGACTTTCGCAATAATTCTACCGGAAACTGTACGCTCCCCACAAAAAAAGGGACAGCCTATGGTCAAAGTTTTAACACACGTTGGCACTAGCTATTGGTGCATTCCGATCATTCACCTATTTTCAATATCACATCCTCCATCCTGCCAGTATCATCATGCGAAAAAAGAAAAAAGAAATCGATTATAAGTGGCAAATAATTAAATGAAAAGGCCGAAGAGCAATTTCTAACTTACGAGATACTAGTTAGGTGATATAATCTATTAGTTAAATCTATAATTATCTTATACCTATCTTTACCAGTTCTCCCGATGAGGAAATTTTCCGAGGGTAGGTTCGAATCCTGCGGGGGCGGTGACCCAGGGGATATTAATCGTGGTTTCCTTTCCTGGCTTGGCATGTGGGTGGGTTTCTGCTCTGTGGAGAGCACCCGGCGCCCAAATGGGGCATGCGGACATGTGGAGGGGTGTGACTAAGCGAAGGTGCTGGCCTTAGATGTCGGTTGGGGTATTCCACACCTGAGGCTAACGTGAAGCCCTGCACTGGTTGCTTGGAGAGGATAGGTGCGCCGCCATAGACTACGGTCTGCATGCGAGTATGAATTAAACAAAAAAAAAAAAAATACCTATCTTCACCAGCGATCAGCAGTTGTGCCGAGTGAGAGCCGATGATCCACCGTTCGCTGGTCAAGTGACCAATATTATAAGCTCATAATCAGTCATACAGTCCATTTATTATAACAGCAGCATATATGTATGACCGCAAGAGGAAGGCTAGATATCTAAAAAGGAGAGAATTATATAGACTTTTATTTGATGAACCATCCTTTCAATCATTGGTGTGCAGTGGTACGTTTCTTTAGCCTCCACGTGCCCACCACTACTACTACCACTACCAAGGCTACATTTAGCCAAGTGACTAGACTAGTACTAAGCCGATCCAGTACTAGTAGGCTTAATTACTCTCAATTAGTAATAAAACATACACACATGGCACTCAACTGAGGGACAAATCAAATATATCTGAAATGCTGTTATTTTTCCATACTCCCAACCAAAAAAAAAAAAACAAGGAATAATGGAAAAAGAACTCAATAATAATTACTTAATTATAAACGAAAAAAGTTGCCAACTAAACCCCAAATAAATCGAATAAAAAGTCATCGGTACCCGCAATTAATTACAATTCCAAGTCCTCAGTGAAGGAAAGGAAGAAAAAAAGACAATGAAACTAAAACAATAAAAGATAACAATAATATCGCATAAGACCCAGCACTGCAAAAGCGAGAGGAACAAAAAAAGAAAATGCCAAACCAATATGGTACTACAAAGGAACAACTAATAATAAAAAAAGGAAACAAAATCCTCAGCCTCCCAGTTGCAACTGCAAGCTCGGGCAAACGCAGCCAAACCAAACACCAAAAAGCCCACAACTACACAATCACACAACGCCCTGCCGTCTTAATGCTCATCCCCCATATCTCCTGCCGGCGCTCTCGCACCAAGCATCCAATCCTCCATCGCCAACCACCTACTCCAGAGACTCTCTGCGCCCTCAATCTCCGCATTCTGCACCTTACTCAGAGGGATCAGATACGGCACGGCCTCATCAATGACCTCATCGTACTGCTTCTTCACGCTCTTCCACCCGCCGCTCTTTGCCGCGAACATGTAGTTTCTCCTCTCTTGCTCATGTAATGGCCCCACACCGTCCTCCCAATCGTCGCCAAACCACCCATGCAGGATCGCAGCGACGTCGAAGCCCGTCGCGACCAGCCGGCGCATATACGGGTGCAACGACACCCACCCAAACTGTGAAATCGTCGGGTGGATCGGAAAGCCGCCCGTGTTACGGTACTGCGGCGGCCGCGACGACGACGGCATGTGTGGTTGGATTGGCACGGCGCCCTGCATCACGGGAGTCCGCTGAAAGGGAAGCTTGATATTTATGAACGCCGCGAGGGCCTGGCAGGGGTAACTGTGCTGCGCAACTTCAAGAAAGTACCGCTGGCACGATTGGTATTTCGGGTACCAGCTCATGACGTCGAAGTGGAATGCCTCCTCTTTTCCTCCTGATCCTCCTCCCCCGCTGCCGCCGCTTCCAGCAGTAGAGAAGCTAGAGCTAGAGTTGTTACCAGCGTTTGCGAAAGAGTTCGCGGAGGAGCCGCTGCTATTGGTGTCTGCGGGGGTGGAAGAGGAGTGGAAATACTGGTCTCCCCCATTCCCATTCGAAGATGAAGGGCCGTCGTTGAACGCGAAGGAAGTTGTGCGCGCGTTGTAGTTATCGGCCATTTTGGGATTTATTTACTGTCAATTGATATGCGAAGCTTGTACTTCGCAATTGAGATGTGAGGAGTGCAATGAATTTGACTGAATTGTATCTGGTGGCCGTTAATATGTCGCGATGCCGTTTGTAGTTCGGGGATCTCCGCACACCCTGCGTTCCGCAGAGCCGCTATGTGTTTTTGCTTTTTCGGGGGAGCTGCAGGTGGTGTAGGCGCTGTACAGTAGGACTAGGTAGGGCAGGAGGTACCAGGTATCCACGGGATCCGGGAGGGCTTCGGGTTTGTCGGAAGAAAGCAATAACAGCCAACTCGGACGAAAGAGGGATGGATATATAAATATATATGTATCTACTATAGTATTCACCAAGTAGTGCTTATAGTAGTACTAGTAGCAATAGCTGTGGTAGTAGCACTGGCAGCGGAAGCGGTAGTAGTGGTAGTATCGTAGTGATAGTAGCAAATTGTAGTAACGTAGACCCGTAATCGTTGAATACTCAACTAATAAAGGCAATCAAAACAGTAGCAGGAAAGAAACTTTGATAGGGCAAGGTCGATGGTATTCTAAGTAGCTTGCAAATCAATCTCAAGATCATGCAGCCTGAGTGACCCTTTCCCGGACTACTTATAGAGATATGTAGTAGAGTAGAGTAGGAGGAGGAGGAGGCAGGTCAAGCACGAGTACCCACTCACTCACTCACCTCCCTTCCAAATAAGTTGTTGGACCCTTCGATCCGTTCGGCAGCAGCTCAGTCCCCCTACCCATCCATCCCATACGTCAAGACCAAGATCGAGCTCCCGCTACTAAACTAAGTGTTCCCACGTGCACACGGCGTTCGGAAGGGCAGTGGAGAAAGAAGAGAGAAGGAAGAAAAAAAAGAACGAAAGGGAAAAAAAAAGAAAGAAAGGAAAGAAAAAGCTAGCTTAGACAACAGACGTACGCGCTGATCATCTCAGCGCAGCACGGCTATCGGTTTCAGTCACCTCTGGTAGGCAAGTGGCGAGCGACGGGAGGAAAAGGCAATCGAGGGGGAAGCTTGGGGAGAGACGTAGGAGGATAAGGTTGATGTTGAGGAGGGAGGGGGTGGGTTAGGGGGGTACGGGTGCTCCCGCCGGTGCCGGTGTGGTGGGGAATACAGACACAAGTGCACGGCTACTTTCTTTATGGCGTATGTGCGTATGTAGGTGGATACATAATCTAGTACCGTGTAGAGTGCACATGCCCCAGATATTTCGATTCGATATGGCGGATTGCAAAAAAGAAAAGAGGAAGAAAAGAGTAGTAGATATCATCTCGAACCCGTACCCTCATGCTGAGTGGTGATTGCATTGCGCCCGTGTCTAGCCTGTCCATCGCGCATTAACAGATGATCTTCTCTCATCCACACAGCTAGCTAGACTCTCATCGTGGAGTTGGTTCCATCACGTGGGGAAGTAGCTCATGAATGGCTGGGGAGGACCGTGAAATTGAAGGAGGAATAGGAACATCTTTCCACCTATCAGTTACTTAGGGGGTATGTAGGTAAATATACTCAAGATGAGTTGAAATGTATACAGTGCACACAGCTACATACATCTATTGTACATGGCAGTACATGTACTGTAGCCCCCCGATGAAGTCAATCTGCTAAACAGTTACCCAACTGCGAGATCGCATCTACGTTGTGGAGAAGAATGGCAATCTCCGACCTAAACGAAAAAAATGAAAGAAAGAGGATTGGGCATAAAAGCCACCCGATTGACAGATCAAGAGTCTTTGACACGATCGAAACGGGTATGGACATGAGTTAACCGAACGGGGGCGCATAAAACAATCAAACTCAAAAGCAAATAAGCATCTCCAGGTACCTGGAGGTAGACTTACAGTACATAATACCGAAACAGGCTCTCGGCTTTTTTCATATCCTCGTTTTTGGTTACCAGCCGCGGGCAAATTCAAAGGTTTCGCCGACGAAACCGCCCTCGATGGATGGGAATGTAGAGTGGAATATATTATCGGGACGTAAGAGGGGTTGCCTAACTAACTATAGTACCTAACTTTAAGACCCGTACATGCGGGAGTTGAAAGTATATCAGAGCTTTTATTTTTTATTTTTTTATTTTTTATTTTTATGTTTGATACCATGGCCAGGCCGTCCGGGATAGCAAGCTATCTACAGCAGATATCGATACTTATGGCCTGGCGGGGGAGCCGTCAATCTTGAGATCGCGAGGGGCCCACCCCCCAAAACTACATGTATACACACGGAATGGCGGGGAGAATCGGCGACCTGTTGGTTTCTCCTGCTAACTACACGCGTAGCAAAGTCTCCATTATCGAAGACAATATCTTGCGTGACAGGCACAGCCTACTTGTACTAGCTTTCCCTTTGCTTTTCAACGTCATGCCTACTTTGAAGCTTGTCGACGCTTTCACTTACACAGCCTCCACCAGAACTCCGGATATACCTAACAATAGGACGTAACTTGAGTACGCACAGAACATCAAATCGAACATTCGATCCAGATAACTAGATATATCTCTTACCAAGCCCTCCTCGATCCCTGTATCTCCGGCCCGCCCCGGCTCTAAGGCTCCCGAACGTCTGGCCGGCCATGTGTGCAGAGGAAAAAGAAATTGAGTTCACCAGCCTGTACCACAGACTCCCGGAATATCTATCCGATATCAAATAATATACCTGCCCTTGGGTCCTGGACCATGGGGTAAGGGGGTAACGCAAGGAAATAAAATAAATAGAGACCAGGAGTAAGGTTAACCTGGTTGAAGGAAGGCTTAACTACGTATATATATGTACATACATGTACGTGCTCTAGATGAGGGATGGGATGGGGTGTTCGTCCTATTGTGTACATGCATACATGTACTCTTAGCTCTACTGCTTGTACTCTGCATTTAAACGGTTGGTTACTACATGTAGTAAACTGAAGGGGCAGAGCAGCTACTAAATATAAGTAATCAATTACATCTACATGTAGGTAAATAAAACAGGTAGATCTAAAAGTAAAGTAAGTTAGCTTGGGCACGTGCGTAATCTTAACCTGCCTCGATGGTCGAAAAATAAAAAAGAATAAAAAACCGTCCCGGCCATCGGAATCATAAATGAAGGTATATATGTCCGGGGTAGAGCTACATGTAGTCAGGACGTGTGAACCTACATAGTTAGATCTCGTTCCCGAGTGAGTATGATTACATCTTTAACGCCTGTCTCAACGTCTCTTTCTCTTTGCTCAAACCGGGAACGATAAACGATAGCGATTACCGTGCATACACGCGCCTGCAGCGGTTGCTATTAGGCTTCTCTTCCTTTGAGGAGGGTGGTAGGCAGTTGTTATTCGGAGGGGTGTCCAGACCTGCATAAGGGTGAAGATTCAAAAACCCTATACGTATTTCCCTGCATCTAAAATGCAGATATTCTTTTCTTCATAGGTATCGAGGCTCGCCCCCCATACGAGTCTCGATCTCTCCGCCTTTTGAATCCTGGTACCAGTGCCGCCAACTTTAACTTCTATGATGGGAAGATTCGATCTCATCCACGGCTGTACTGTGCTAAATAGTAAATAGATGCAACACATATTTGTTAGTACCCCGATCCGTTGGACCATGGGGTTAGGCCGCTGAATCTCCCAAGGGTTACCGGTGATCACCATTGGATATTCGGACGCTCGGAAGCTTATTTTCCTTTTCCTTCACACACCTTGATATCTTCTTTGGATCACCAAACATATCCTGGTACGGTCCTGTTTACAGGGTATCGTTTCACGCGTGAAGCCGAGGAGCCCGATGATAGGAAGAGAAGAAATGAGGCAGAGTATGTAAAACCCTCTATACGTACTGCGGCAGTTAGGTAGCAAGCTGGACCTAGAAAGTTAACTATGTGCCTTATAACCAGGGATCTTGAGAAAGCAAAAGCTGAGACAGGCCAAAGAGAGAACATAGCTCTTTTCCTGATATCAAGCTAGCGTAGGTATCGAGCAATTAAGGAAAAACTGCGGTCTGATCAATGCCAGTGTTTAAGACGCAAACATATTTCATCATGAACCTTTTTGAACGTTCGATCACCATGTTTTCGGCACACCTAGACCCTGTCAAAAAAGATTTGGAAGCATATTTCAGCACAGCCGTACGACGTTCAGCTGAAAAAGAAGCTTTGACAGATATGTTGTGGTGGTGGCAAATATCGTGGCGCCCGCCAAATTTAACCCTGTCAACTCTGGAGGATTGGAGGGATTGAGAGGAACTATATTCGGAAATACTACATGTAGCTTCTGCGGAAATCTCATACTCATATATCAGTAAAAGCACTAGAAAATAGGAATTAACTCACTACCGCAAGGAATTTTCAGAATATGTGTGGGTTCCTAGCGGTGTGCACAGATACTCTACATGTTTTACAGATTAACATGATGCCCCTGTTTTTGGGTTCCTTTGGCTATTGATGAATACGTAGTAGATTGATGACACGACACATCTTTCCTACGAATCCGTTATGGGTAAAACCTCGGCGTTATTCTGTGCCTACTGATAACCTGCGGTCGTCCTGGCAACATGATCATGCAATTGCACCGTCAGTTGACTAGCTGTGGCCATGGGGGTTGGACTAAGAGAAATAACTGATGAACTCGAACGGGGTCGGGGGCATACGCATGTAGTGTTAGCTGTCCATCGGGCTGTTTCTTACTATGACCAAAACCCCTACACACGCCCGTATTCGACGCAGCCGGCCAACTTAACTAGCTCACTTGCACCTTCAATAGCTTAGATCGAGGCCGATGCACAGCGACTACTACTCACATGTACTGTGACTATCTAGAGTGAGTGATGCGTGCATAAGTGCTATGGGAACGGTGTTTGTAGAAAAATATTAATACCTACCACACAGGTCTCCGAATGTCTCATGAGACAAATGGCGATTTCTCAGTATCCTAGAGATTCCTGTTGTTTTTTCTCGATGAAAAAAAAAAAAAAAAACCAATCATGAAGAGCTGATTTTTTGGGGCATAAATGATGAGGCAGGCGAGGAAAATCTGACTCTCGTAGTACGCGCGGCGGGTGTCCTCGTCTTAAAGAATGTATATTTCTGTTCTCACAAAGTGTTGCAGATGGGCTGATTAGAATAAAAACGCCGGTGACTTTCGGACCGTTGTGATCTTGGAGGGGATACTTATGAAGTCCATCGTGTCTCTTTTGATGGCATTATTGTCCAAACGCGAATATTCGCGATACTTCACTAACGTCGAGATGGATTCAACTGAGTGTTTTGGGAGGGCAATATAGCAGACTATCTTGTCCAAAATTGCGTATCGATGATTAATAGAGGTCTAGGGGAGCGTTGTAGATTCTTTAGTGGATGAATGTCGTGGGAATTACGAAACGTTGAACAGGTTCTCGGGTCACTTCGACTGTAGCTCTCAGCCTAGCATGTAGTTAACACCATAACACGGATCCTTTCATTAGTGCCCCGCTGGCTACATGTAGTGTGTATATGCTTCATATGCAGCTATTTTTCGCTAGTTATATATGTTTAAACCTTCAAACTTTTGCTTCGTGACGTGTACTATAGTACCGGAAAGGGGTAGAAATTCACTACCGTATTCTAGTCAATACGCTAGTGATGCTGTAAGAATACGGTATTGATATGGTATCGATATGGTATTCTACTTACGATGCTGGTTTAAACCAGTATTCTTGACTTAATACCGTAGCCCTACGGTAGCAATTTTACCCTCATTTCCGAGACTGTAGTTCACTGCTGTAGTGCTCTCGCGTTTATGTATTAGGCCAAGGTTGACTTTGGTGTATTCACCCAACAATATCTGTAGCTGGCCTAAAGCTGTATATACAGAGACCAAATAATTGCCAGACATTAAAACTAAATCACGAACACTTTTGCTGAGTGGCTGTATATAACCCAAATTATCAGCCGTTGGAAAGACCATATACCAATATCGTAATATCCTGAACATACCCACTCGCTTGGTTTTGTGAAAAACAACCAACTCAAGAATATTTAGGCAATATCCTCTTTTCTGGCAGACGCTACAGGATCCTATATAGGGGGTCTAACTAGAAGACGGCAATGAAGATCGCAACGCCACGACCAGTCATTAGCTAGCCAATGTCTTGAATGATTGTCCGTTTCTATCTAGATCTCTGCACTAGGTTTGTGTGCCCAAGTTAATAATCGATAATTGGTAAATATTCACTCGCGAGTGTGAGATCTGACTTAGTAGCCTTCTCTACCATGGGAGTAGATGCATCAGGAAATGCATCCTGCCATAGTAATATTTTTGGGAAAGGCGTCAAGGTGATGCCTTTCCAGCAAGCGTCTCTTGGAAAGGCATCGTTTCGATGCTTTTCCAGTACAGTGGAAATGTATCAAGGGATGCCTTTCCACTGGAAAAGCATCAACGGACGCCTTTTTTGATGCCTTTTTTGATGCCTTTCGGGGATTCGTGGATGCCTTTTTTGATACCTTTCTGATGACTTTAATTGTGATGACTTTCCAATGTTAAAATAACTAAAACTATAGATTTTCAAGACTTAATAATCTGTTATCTATAACAAAACAAAAGCTTAGTGGTTACTAGGTGGTTGGAACCCTTCATGACCTGAGTTCAATCCCAACTCAAGTCATTTTTTTCGAAAAATAAATTTTTAGCCTAGTTTGGGCCCAGGATCCATTTCCCGATCCATTTCCCGATCCATTTCCTGATTCATTTCCTGATTCATTTCCTGATTTATTTCCCGACAGGTTGATTTGCTGCATTTCCCGACGACTTTCGCGACGCTTTTCAAACGACTTTCCCAATAGGTGCTTTTTTTTGATGCATTTCCTTGATGCATTAAATCCGGTGGCAGAGCTTGTGGTATTGTTAAGCTCCGCCAATGAATTTGCACAAGGCCAAGAGTCAGTAGACGCGAGGCTGAGTCGTTTTGATGCCAATATATCAGATCTAATGAGGTTCTCTGAGACTTAGCAGCGCAAGTCTACCTCGTTATGACAACACGCCTCATGCAATGTATATAGCTTTGGAATTAATTTATTCTGAAGTTCACTCTGGGCTCTGGAAGTACTAAGTTAATTATGAGGTGCATGTGTAAGTGGTTGGCTTAATTAATATACTATATATAGCACATACAGTTAACGTTACTCTGTTGACCATAGTATATAAAGATACCTGTAACTCATAGTATTTATGGATTGACAGAGTAGGATTGAGAGAACTAGAGTCGTATCGGGAGGGAGCCAGATTAGGAGGGACAAAATCTATTACAAGGGTAAATTGGATCATGAGTAATCACTCGTCACCCTTGGTAGCTAGCGTAAATCCTCGAAATAGAAATTGAGTAAGTTGTAAGGCCTTGAGAATAGAGATTTAGATCCTCATGGTTCCCCTATAAATCTTGCCCATACAACTTTCTCACATGTTTCAATATGTTCGAACCCCATGAACTGTTTTTATTCAAATAATTCTGTAAGGTAGTACTATCTCAATCTCAACATTTCTGGTATATATGCTTACACCTGCTGTTTTGCACTCCGCTGAACATGCTGCCAGTATTTCCAACTTGTGTGATTTGAAATCACAAAACACATGCACACCAACTTCTAAATAAAAGGCATCGAGGACCATTCCAACATGGGCTTCGGATCACACACTCTGAGACGCTCTCGGATTGGCTCGGGCTTTACTTCACGAGGTCTTCCGTTGTTGTATTTTTATAGGATATACTCGTTTGAACTGTTCATGCATCCATGGCCCCCATTGTAGTAAAGTCGATTGTGTATCCCTATGGTCGATAAACACTTCCACAGCACTCTCCACAACCGTTTGCTGCTATGCGCTGTTCTCTTCGATGAAAGGAATCCCTTAAACGTCGCCCCTGAATCTCAATCTCGCCTCGAGCTCCTTCCTCAGTAACTCTACCTCTTCCAATGCCCCTCACATTTTCGGTTGGGTTTTGCGTTGAGAACACTATTGGGGTTTGTTTCTTTCGTACAGGCCACTCCTTTAGTTCGAGCTTCCAATGGGCATTGTACAGCCTATTGGCTATGCGAGCCTTTCGAGAAGACCTTTCTTTAGGAGGGAAATCCGTTTCAGCAAAAGGCCCACATAGAAGATATTCCACAGGTCGCCAGTACGAGATTCAGGGCGGAGTAGTACCGTGTGGGATGGCTTCTACAAGTTGCTTGTAGTTGAGAGATGAACTGTAGCTGCTGGAGGATACATAGCCACTCTTGTCGTTCCGATGTTGGGACACGCATTCCTAGATTTCGTGGTGGCCATTGAATGGAAGGATATCAACCCCTCAGGCTCTTATGGATAGAATATGATGAGCGATCGGGAAATCCGGCTGTTAGAGGGAGAGGATGGTGCCGATCCCAACAAGTATGAATAACTGAAGGGTGAAGGATGATAAACTGAAAGGAAAAGAGGTGAACATGAAGAAAATGTTTATCGAAGGAGCCAGCATAGATTTGCAGACGTATACAGTAGGCAGGTACAAGTGAAGCTTCGAAGTGTATGCGGATATCTAGATTCTGTTATAAAGGATATGTAGACAAATGCTGGATGGATTAACAGATGGGTGGAGATACGTACATTGTATGCAAAAGGTTAGAGGGGTTTTCTTGATTGTAATAATATGTTTTCACAGTCAATTGACCAAACCCTTGTAGGTATACATTACATGCACATATCGATCTTGCGTTGGCTACATGTACATGTACATGTAGAGTGCTATGCTTGGTTGTTACTCTACATGTAGCTGCCTGTGCATAGTGTACAAAACTGCACTTTTTGAGAGACATGTTTTGTGGCAAGCTTGGAGAGGCTCGATTCTGATATTTCCAGTCCCATGACTTTACCACAATCTCCTATGATAGATCTACAATCTAAAGTTATGGATCCTTCAAGGTTAATACCAGTATATTGTACGTAAGTATTTGAATGGCATCACTAAAAACCTACACATAAACTTTGGAGGCGAAAAGGCTCGGCAATAATTACAACCCAATTTGTGTGCCAATAACCCATTTTCCAATTTGACACGGCACTAGGTTAAAAACCTTATATCATACTCTACTCTAGGCCGTCAATACCTACATGTACTCTTCGCGATGGTAACACCGGGCCAACCCGTAGTTAACTGGTTCTCGCGGTACATCTAGTCTAGTTACGTACGTTGTTACACAAGATTTGCATGATCTCCGGATCAGAATCCCGGTGGGACAGAATATACCGTAGCATTAGAATATGAAATACCGTACCTCAGAGAAAGACGAGGTCTTAAACCGAAGCCTTGAACAGCTCAACCAACGCGCCATGGCAAGCTCTTCCTCATTCAACACGAATCCCCATTCTCAAACATTTCAGAAGCTCTTTCAAAAATGTTTGCTGAAGCGATCGGATGTGGAGCACGTCTGTATACCCCCACTCGATTCTCCGCATTAGCGGTCAAGCTGATACTTTGCTCTTCTACCAGTTCGAGAAATATACCACCCAGCTCCTCCTTAAAGCACCTCTGCAACCTCCCGCGATATGTGCAGAAATACTATCACCCCAGCTCACTGCAATCGTTGACCCATTGCACCTACAATATGTCCAGCGCCTTGTTGAAAAGGACATAGTCAGCCTCGCGGATATCCTCCTCGCTCTACTACGGACCTCTCCCGCCAGGTCCACAGCGTCTACATCGCCTGATGCTACTAACAGTGGAGGAAATAGAGAAGTTCTGGAAACGGATTTATTTCTTGTCCTGGCAACCGTGCTGGGAACCAAAAAGCCGAAATCCTCTGACTCGGTATGGAGCGCGGTCCAAGTGCTGAGCGACTGGATGGAGGCTGTTATGGCCGTATCAGGAACAGGAATGATGTTGGATGATGCCGGAACAGGGGATAACGTGGAAGGGATGCCGGGCTCTGGAAGTGAGGGCAAAGGTCGGAGAGAGGCATTAGCAGAGCTGGTGATTGCGCTTGGCGGGAACGTGGACGCTGGAAGAATACTGGGAGAGGGAGGTAGAAAGGAGAGAAGGCTGATGTTCCAAACTAGTTTGAGTCTGTTTACGCAATATATTCAGGCGCAAAATCCGAGCCTCGCGCAAAGAATGGAGAGTTTGTTCAGGCAAAACCAGTCCCCCAGACAGAACCGGTCCAGCGGGCGGGCCGGTAAGAATGCCGCTGGGAACGAAATTGATGGGATGATGATGGGTATGGGAGACGGCGGAGATGGCGCAGGAGGACCAGTTGTATGGTCGAGAGGAGGCCTATTCGTGTGGCTCAATGCGCTGGTGCGTTCAACATTTCCTTATTGGATCCTTTGAGCTTTCCAATTGAGGAGGATGCCTTATCTAACATCTTATGAGGCCTATAGTTAGTTGGAAGGCCACAGGTAGATGATGAGGCAGTAATTGGATATCTGTACAGCAGATACAGGGAGGATACAAGCACTCTCCTTACAGACTTTGTTACTGCCGTCCTTGATACCATCTCCAATGCAATCCTCCGTAACGAACCTGCGAGCACTTTGTTTCTTCATCGTTCCTTCCTTACGAATAAGGTCCCCATCATACTTGCCCGTCTCTCTCCATCAACTCTTACTGCATCGTTCGCACTCAGCCAAGCGCTTCTTCGGACTGACCAATCCACCCTTACCAACCTGACTCCTTCTTCTTTCGATCCGTATGCCCATAACACTACCACAAATCCAGACATGCTCTTCAATGGCGATCTTCCGGTTGACCTCCGCCAAGAGCTTTTATTTGCGTGTGCGCTTCACGGGGTAGTTGGCGAAGAAGACATTCAGGGTATACTCGGGGAGCTACCACTCGGGGCTTTGCCGGTGGCAGGAAGATACGAGCTTAGCGATCTAGTAAATTCGTGTACTCAAGACCCAGATCGAGTCGAGAGATTACTAGAGGAGATCGAAGGGGTTGAAGGAAACTCTGGAGCAGTGGTGAGAACTGTAGTAGAGATAATGAGAGGCATGTGTGAACAAAAGGAAACAATGCCCCTGAGGAATGTATGCTCCTTTTTAACAAGGAAGACTAGTAGCTTGGATGTTATGTTGCTTTTTGTCAAACCAGAGTATCTTCTCGAGCCGCTATGTGAGTTATTGGATACATGGCGATATGAGGAGGATCAAAGTAGGAACCCCCATGGTATTGCCTAAAAGTCTGTCTAATCGTGCCTAGGTGAATATCAACCAATATATGAGGAGTTCGGCTACATCTTACTTCTTGTCCTAACAATAATACATCGTTACGACCTTTCTCTCTCTGATCTCTCCGCCTCTGGAACTCCGAATAATGATTCTTTTATTCCGCAATTATTACCTAGAGAGGCAACCTCTCAACGCATCGAGAATCTAGGAAGCTCAGACAAGCATGCACAGCTTGGAGGATGGATCCGTGAGATCTTTGAGGGTGAAGGCATTTCTGATGGTCTTATGAGCTCTTGTAGACCGCAAGACTTTTACAGGCTTGTCCCCACATTATTCATGCAAAGTGTGTTAGCATGTGAAAAGGGTGTACTCGAGTTAGATACACTAAAAGAAGGTTTTGCGTTTCTTCTTGAGCCCTTTCTACTCCCATCCCTAGTTTGTGGATTAGGTTGGTTGGGTAATCATCTCTGGGAACATCATGAGGATATCACAACTCCCCTACAGATACTCCACTCTCTTCTGATTGTCCCAAATATCTCCCCCGAGGCAGCAGAGGTCCACCGCACAGTCGTTTCGATATCTGCCCGACAAATAGATCGTGTCCTCCGGGAACTTATCCGCCGTGGGACCACGGGATCTCAGCACAAGGTTGTGGAGCAGATTGTATCTAATCTTCAACCATACACGTCATTCAAACGAGCTGGCACCGCGACAAGAGAGGAACTGGAGAACTGGACACACCATGCAGGTGGCGGGGGCTTGATCCAGAGTCTTGGAATCGCCTTTCAGAATCTTGTCACCTGGAGCGTAAGCCAGGGCGATATCAACATTGCTCGCCCAGCAACGACGTACACCCATCGCCTCATCCTTTCGGCATGGAGAGTTCTTGGGGCAAAGACCGTAGTCCAGGGAATTATCGGCGAGGTTGTCAAATGTCGAATGCAGGGTACCGCACCCGGATACGCGGAGGACGTCGCAGTGTCCTTCATTCTTTCCGTCGGGGCGAACTCCGGTGAGGATAGCGGTAACGGGCGAATGGGGCTTCTTGAATCACTACGAGCCGAGGAAGCTGAAGAGCGAGGGAGCGATAACATCAGAGCCGAGGCTGTGAGGGGCGTACTGAGAAGAGTAGAGAGGCAAATGTCACCATTTAGCCCGGTACAACATCACCACGCAAATGTTGGCGGGGCCCCAGGAAACGGAGACGTGGGTGACGGAGGAGTTGGGGACGTCGAGGTTGACCTTGGAGGTGTTGATTTGGGAATGGGAGATGATATGGGTATGCTGGGTGATGGAGACTTGATGGCTGGTCATGAGCTTTTAGGTGATGTTAGTGGGATGGATTTGAGTTGATGAGACTTTTAGTTGATGAGAATTCGAGATCTATTTGCGTTTTTAGTTATAATACCTGGTTTGCTTATCAATATGTGGAGTTAATTATATATAATGAATTGGTTCTATATTGATGTTGCAAAAGCGGTGGTGCAGCCATGGAATATATTTCATGATAATACTTTCAATATGTCTATCTCTTCTTCTCCTGATACTGCTATAAAATCTCCCCAGGTTCTGTAAACTATTTGCATACAAATCCCAATAAATGTATATTCGTCCCCTGCAAATTTATCCAACCAATGAAAGCCGCATATGCGTGGCAAAAGCACATCACACCCCATAAAGTGTAATCTTTTTGCCATCTGCATCATAAATACATTCTTCCCTAAACTCTGGCTCACTGTTGATAGTGTCCTGGTCAAAATGCCCGTTGCTATCGTCTTCCTCACTTTGCCGTGAATTATCAGCATTCCCCTGCAACCACTCATGTGAAGATTCGGACCAAGCCTGTTCTGGTCTCCTGGGTTCCGGTAATGGGCAAACGTCAGAGGCTGACATATAAAATGGCACTTTAGAGGTTCGGTATACACCAGTCGACAGCCGATCGTTTGACGGGAAGTGGCAAGATTCTGGAATCTGTACCGTTGTAGGTGTAAACCTACAGCTGGAGGGTGTTGTAGGCCCGGAGGTTGTATTTCGTGGTTTAGAATCTGTACTGTTTAAAGAATATCTTCCCTCTGAGTTTGGGGAAATGAGAGGAATCGGTACTCCTGGTGTTGTCTGGACGTTACATGTAGGCCTATGTCCTCTCTGCGATACTACTGGCGAAATCGAAGGGGAAAATCCTGGCGTTGTAGGTCCAAATCCATTCACACATGTGTCCGAAGAGCTCCAAACAGAATTAGGGGAAAGACCTCTATGAGCAGGGCATATGCTCGGGCATGTAGATGTTATGGATCCGAAAGTTGTGTTTGACCGCTGCGGGGGAAACTGATACTTCTCTACGCCTACCAGTTTATATCTGTATCTTAACCTCCAGGCAGAAACGCCCAGGCCCCCGCAACTATACACAACGATTAGAACTGACACTATCAACCAGAGGGTGTTCAGTAAGGCCTTTTGGCAACGGAAGCCGAGAACTATACCAGCAGGGTCAGTATAAAAGATGCGTAAGACTGCTAGTGAGAGGCTATTCGTGAAGATAAGGAGGAGGACGTAGAGGTGGATGTTTAGAATCGCCATTTCGAGTAAAAATAGTTATGTTCATAGGAGAGAGTGAGAGAAACTGGTGAGTAAAATAGGTTTACGAAGGGCGCCGTATCTATTATATACATGGTTGAATAAATACAGTGCCATTCACTAGTGCAAGTGTGTTGAACTATAGAATTTGGTTAGGAGGACGGAGTTAGGTAGCATGTACGATATACGATACTTACATTCACTACTACATAGCACTGTAGTATATATTTACAAGTGAAATGCAGCCTCCGGCTGCAAATTCGCTAAAGCCTAAGAGAGTGGATACATGTATTGCAATGTCCAATATATCTACGAAGTCAATTAATTACCCATGATATCTATAGATATTTATATATCAACAGCCTGTGGAAACTACCAACCTATGAGAGTGGATGCCATATATGTTGCATCCCTTCCGAACTCGGGAGTGGCTCTTTGTCCAGTACACATAGCAGTCCTGGTAGAAGAAAATTAACTAATGATAATTGCATATTGCTTCCTGGCCACAACGAGGAAGATTATACTATTTAGAAAAGACTGAATTTGCATGCACAAACTGAGTGGCGGGTATCCATTAAGAAAAAACAATCACCATAGAAGCCGTACAGGAATCCTTTTGTTTATCGCACTCGATATTCACATTCAAAGACTCGTACTTACTACATGTATACATTGCAGGGAAAATCCACCGCCCATTAAACCATGATTACATGTAAGTACTACATTTTTGTGCACATAGGCTCTTTATATAAGTTTTAATCACAATACATCACTCGGGTCAAATGAGTTCTCCCCTTTTCAGGTATGGATTTTGAATCTAGGACAAAAGTCAGTTTCAGCACTATGTATCAATTCAATCTCTCGTGTAATCTTCTAGAATTCTTCACATTTATAGGATACCAAAATAATCGATTATTGAATCTTGACGGCAAATTACGATCACGAGCGTGATTCGAGGCATAGTACAGATATTACTATAAATCATTACCCGGATAATATCTGATTACTTGCTACTTATCTCATAAAGGTGTCCAGTTATCAGTTATAGAATCCTCATGCTGCCGTATCACCTGAATATTTAGGTACCATATGCATATGGATTTCATCATTTTCTTTCTACACGGTTGCCTAGCTGCGCTGCAGGTAGTGCACATGCTAGCGCTACCTATAATACATCTAGTTTATCCTCTTCAAATTAAGCCTACAAGTATCCACTCCAATCCTGCGACTCTAAATATTCTCTAATACTCTTCCCCCTACTTAGGCCCAAATCACTTGGTGACAAAGCCTTTACGTTGCCTGAGCCTGCACCATACTTGCTCCATACCTGTAACTCACTACTGATCTCCAGCCCCGTCTTTCCATGTAGCGCCCCGTATGCTTCCTCGGTTATTTGGATATACTTTACATCCTTTACACCCGCAGACTCTGCCCACAGTTTGAACATCTGTCCAACAGTGAGGTCCTCGCCGTTCGTGGCCAAAACGTATCTCCCGTTCAAAATCTTTTCTGGCTGTGCCAGAATCGCATAAACGATTGGCCCCAGATCGCTCTTGTGCTCGATGAACGGGATTGGGATATCAGGAGGTGTTGGGAAGAGGTGAGCATAGGTCGTTTTCCCTGCTTGAATCTATTTACCATTAGTCGGACGTCCTAACCAAAGGAATGAATAGCACTCACAAGCTTGGTAACCATCATCGGTGCCCAGTGGAAATTCTGCGCATAAAACCCAATCCACAAAAAGGTTGTCCTCGGCAACAGGGGCGAGTTCTTGATGTACTCGTCTACATCATCCTTCCCATCAACGAAATTGACCGCAATGTCACCACCTTTGTGCTTCGCCGATTGCAATGTCGACCAGATGAAGTGCTCCAAATTCGGAATCTCCAGCGCTGCGTCCACGATGTTCTTGCCGTGTCTAGTTTCGAGAGCTTGGGCTTCCGAAGCACTGAGACCGCCGAGGAAGGGGGCCCAGAAGTCAGTGACAGCATATATGGCACTCGCATCCTATTGATCAGTTAATGGTGGTCTTCTTTTTTCTCTCTAGCAATGTTGGGGATATTCATACTTGGAAAGCACTGATGAGAGAAGCTTTATCGTTGAAGTCACCTGGAACAACTTCGATGCCCTGCTGGAATAGAGCTAGTACTTTGGGGGATGTAAGATTTCGAGTTACAGCACGTATTCTGTAGGTGCGGTGGGTAAGGAGGGTGTTTATTATAGCTGTGCCCTGTTTATTGTGAGATTTTTTTTATGGTATTTACTCAAACCCATTGGTATTGAGAAGGCAGATTTTACGATCTTACCTACTCGCCAGTAGCTCCAAGAACTACGATAGTCTTCATTTTTGGATTGAGAAGGGGTGTTTGAGTTTTGAGTGATGTTATTTTGATTTTGAGATTTAATATATCTTTCTCTTTCTGATTTCTTTAACTACTTATGTTCTTCTCTTATTCTACTAGAAAGTATCTCTTGATGCTCTACCGCCCCTTTCTTTCTCCCATATTCTTTTGATTTGGAATCGATAATATTGCGTACTTAGTAATCACTACATTACAGAGATCCTTGGCAGCGAAAATCCGCTAAACCAGTGCTTTAGACCGTGAGGAGACGGTCTTAGCGCACTTGAGTACATCTATGTTACGAATTTCAAGCATTTGAGTTTTATGGGTACTAATACTTTTCATAGATGCATTGACGACGTGACTCAGTGGAATGATATTCAACATGCGCGTCGTTGCAAGTTGTGGCGTGTTTACATTCATAGGTAAATACATGTACATGTACATGTAGTACGTACTAGCAGCCCATTTACTAGTACTACTTACCAGAGCTTCTAAAATTCCGCGGTAAAAATATCGGGTATTCTAAAGTTCGACTTTAGGATTTGGAGTTGTATCTACATGCATATCCCGACTTACTTGCCAAAAGTTGTTGGCCGGTTACAGTCTATAGAGCCAGTTGATCATGATAAATCTAACTATTAACTAATCATTCGGCCTTATATTGATTACTCGGCGTTTCAACGCGGTGAAATTAAGTATTGTCTCTCGCGATAGCAACCATTGACCTCACCATTTCCTTAGGCCGACCAACCACCACCATAACCATGATAATTAACGCAGGAGATAATTACCTTTGAGCATAAAAATGACTACGACTTTAACACACTTGGTTTTAGCTATTGGTTGTGGTTTTATAGGGTCTCAAGTTTGGTGGGGTTGAATGGTTGCCAGCGCAATTGGGACAATACTTAATTTCACCGCAAGTATGGTGCGCCCGCTCTTAAAGGTAACCGAAAAATGAGGCAAAGTCGATTGCCTAAGGCTTTTCAACAAAAAAAGTTAAAAAAAAAATCGGGTCATACTGATTGTAGTACTAGTGATAAACTTTAACTTATATGACCAGATTTTTGATATCTATTCTAGTTGTGAAGCCTTAGGAGTTTGAAATTCCGCATTTTTGTATGTAAAAAGCGCCAAGACTGAGCAAAGTGGAACAGTATTATACCCATTTATACCCCCCAAAAGCGAATTGTGGCAGGAATAAAGCAGGAATGCTAGAAATAGGCCTTCTGATTGGCCTAAAACTCACCTTGCAGCCACAATTGTTCCACTTCCAAATCCTGCCGTGTCACCTTTAAGAGTGTGCGCACCATACTGTGATTGACAAATACTTACAATCAATGCCTGGCGCTTCTGCCTAGACTTAAGTGCAATAATATTATATATTTACCGCTTCTACCCGAAATAGTTCGCCAGCTAAAGCTGAAAGTGCTGAATCCTCTAAATAGAGTATTGATCAATTGAAGTTTTCTTCAGCCCCGTAAATTCACTAGACTTGATATGTTGTAATGTCGATATACTTGCTACGATCGACCAGCTATATATTGCAAATAAGCTCGTTTAATTTTGGTATGGGCTGCAGTGGGGTTGAGTTATGGTTAATTACACATACAGCCCTACGAGCCATTTCTCTGAAAGGAGTGCATTGCAGCTTGTTGGTGATATACGTTATGCTGTGCTATAGGAGGTAACATCCCAGGACTATCGGCCGTGGGGGCTGATATGTACCTACATCACAGATTTCTATACACCAAATTTGTTATCATCTTAGCAAGGGTACTACCTCAGGGTAAAGATAGTCGTAGGTTCTAAGAGTACTCCATTTACATATCATGCCTAACAGCCATTATCGTTCAAAGCTAGAAGCACAGTCAGTGAGGGAATTGGAACGATTATTATTATCGAGCCACATATCATATCATGCATCAAGCCGAGAACACGGAACCCGACCAATCCCCAACTCCCCGACCCTCTAATATTTCTGAAACAAGCTTCTTGACTCATGAGGTTCGTGTGATTGCTGGTTGAATTAGAAGTGTACACGAGATCCCTGGTAATAGTCTCCGAGGCTGAGCCTAAATATTTCTGGCGCGTGGGGACGGTTGTTAAGTTGTACAGATATGACATGATTTATCGACTCTGCTCTTTAGCTTAGGTTATGGTATTGACGGTGGGAGTTACAGGTACTTACCCGTAATTTCGTGTGCGAGCCAATCCTCAAGCTTGAATCCAAGCAAAATATGTAAAGAGTACATGTGGAATACAACAAATCGATCTGACTCTCTCGTGAATTAAAGCTACAAACATGCTTAACCCCACGAGATACCCCACCCAGTTAGCTATCATGTCAGGTGCTGAGGATAGGAAGCTTATTATAGCGATCAACATATCGAATACGATCTTCAGCTTTGTGAAATTGAATCAGTACCGTACTAAGGCTTAGGAAGTATTCCGAAAATTTTAAGATTTATATTAGCCGCAGTTATGGCGATTGTGTGGTTATTATGGTTAAGCGTACCTTAAATATGACGGTAGGGCAGTGCTGATACTACTATCAACGAATACATGTAGCATCCCCGTCCATACCCATCACTGCTGTGATCATGGGATTGTAACTTTCAAAACTACATGCGGTTACCCAAACCAGTCTCATATCGAACGGCAATATCAAGCCTAATGTCTCTAACTCAATATCACGGACCCCCAGCTTTTGGCCCCCACCATGAAGCTGAAGATTTCTGGCAACAACTACATGTAGTCATTTACTCATCCTACCCTCAACGTCGGAACTTGGAACCAGCCCTAGGCACCAGCTTGCATAGATTGACCGCACCTCCCACGGGATATGAAAGGGAGAGGATAAAAGTGTTGTGTCACGATCTAGCACTCGAGTTAGAGTATCTGTCCCTTTCCCGCGGAAGACAAAATAGGCCGAATGTATATCCGAACCGATGCGAGGAGTATAATTCTAATGCCAGGGGGAGATTTCACAGGCTGATTCATTGCCTACCGCAAGATTTCATGTACCTAGACACGGTTGCGTGGGGAAGCTGAGGGTATATGTGGTGTTGCACGCTGGCTGTGGTCCCGTATCAAGAGGCTCAGATTTAGCGACTTTGTCTTCCCCAGGACCGAGACCCAATCTCCTAGCTCTGGGGGTCATACATTTTGGTAAATGAAAACCCTGCCCTGCATTCGAGCACTCAGCTAGGTCCTGAAGCCATCATGAGCCACTAGTTAAAAGATCCGCAAGGTTTAGATCTACCTTACCGATCAAAAATGGGGTCCCACTATTAGTCAAAGTAGAGACAAAATAATAAACCCCGCAATTATGCAACAGAGCAGATCCCGATATACAACGCGGTGCCGACCAATCGACCGGCCAGGGGCGCAAAATCCACGCCAAAAATAGCCAAGCCTTTGATTCCGTGATATCCGATAGAGAGCCCGACGACACTCGGTGAGGTGCCAAAACTCCGTACTCCGTCTTCTTTAATGAAGTTCGTTGCAGCAAGGTAGAGTAGTTTCTGTAACCGCGTAGTTACCTGCTAAGTACGCGCTTGCGTCACTGCGATAACCCTCGACTCGGTGGTTTTTAGAGTAGAGGTGTATCAGGTTGATCATGTAACCATCTGAGCTTGAAAGCATATGCTAGGATCAGACTCAGCCACACACGCACATATGCTCTAGATTTCTCTGCACCATTCTTTGCAGGAAGAACACTGGCTCGATTCGCCGGCGCTCTCTTCGGGTAGTGCGGCACTTGAAGGCTGTGGGTATTGGAGGTTCGCATATGTTTTGGCTGACTGCTGGGAAAGTCAAACGTCTAGGTATCACCAAGAACCAGGACACCAGTAAGAACCTAAAATACACTTTGATTGTCTGCAGCCGCTAGCTGTGTTTTATTGGTTTGAGCATGAGCCATCCCCTGCCCGCTGTCCGTTGTATAGAATATGCATATATACATATTCTATATATCCACGGCTTACCCCATGTCCTCCTGAAGAAAACGTGTATGGAGATATGCACAGAGGTAAAGGAGGATGGGGCTCAGCCACGTGCAGAACTAGATTGAACGTTGTGTGCTGCATACGGACTGATTGGACAGCCGCCGGACGGACATAATTACCCGATTATCCCGTGGTTACTAATCTATTGAGCAGAGGTAAACTCGGTGAGTCAGCTCTAGTGTGTGGTTGCATCGGTGCGGAGTAATCGGCTCTTATGTTTAGACTTGTGGGATTCAATTGAGAGGGAGGAGGTATCTCGCGTTCTATGTATGTAGAGACATGATCTATGAAGTCGCCAAGCCCATACCTCCCCAACGGGTTAAGGAGTTGATTAGCTAATCGAGTGAGAGCTGATGATCTGGTGAGTCGTTTCGCGTTGGTGTAGCTTGCCCAGTCCCCCAAATCGGGCTCGGTAGGACTGTCCAGATACTTGCCACCCGCAACCTGAGACAATCCTTTTTGTCCAAGCATCTGCGGCTGCGTGAACCATTTCGCAATATTGTTGATGTATGTCCCTGCACGGCGTTTTTAAACTACATCATATACTTACTTTTACCCTATGTGAATATGTGTGTACCTTTCTACATACATCAAGTATCTTAGTGAGAGAAACCACCATGTAGGTACATATGCCCTTATTGAAGGCCCTCATCTATCATCAGATGGTACACCGTCTCGGTGCCTGCCAACACATACCTGCCGGTGAGGCTGAAGTGAGCACATCGCTTCCTCGAAAAGCTTGTCTGCCATGGTTACCGTGGGGCTGGTACATGTTATCAATTGGCCACAGAAGTACACTTAAATTTCCTAGACACAAAAGTGCACCGGCAACGGTAGAGTACGTATGCGCCCAGTAGGTGTGGTCAGAACCTGCCGTAACTTACCGGTTTGACCCTTGCAACAACAGTAGCATTGGATGGGTGAATATGTACATCGGGAGTGCAATAGCTTGGTACAAAGGTGTGAAAGGATCTAATACGTTCATTCATACACCCATAACGTCAATTTTGTTTATTTACTTGACATTAGTGGTCTTCATGGTCGACGTTGCACCGGTGGATGTACCTACATACAGGTAGGTGCAAGGATGCTGATGTTATTATCGGGACTTGGAGGGATGATGTACCCAGTCCACACTTGGTGTCCGATACGCGCAATGCTTGTGTCTGTTTGCCAATGCTCGCCTCTATGCACGGTGCTGGCGTTTACAAAAAGACCCTGGACAAAGTAGGCACAGCATACACCACCCACCACCACCAGATCTCGGTTTTTCTAGTTCACGCATTGTATAACCCTTACATGAGCCTTCAAACATCCGTAACGTAGTTCTATAAATGCCAGCAAAAAGGGGCTGAAACCTCGAAACAAGCTTTAGCCCAAGCTCATAACCCTGACATCTGCTATTCCATTTACGATTACTCTCTCCCACCATCAATCAACACGTGGGAGCTATAACGCTCATCTACACAGTTATTCGAACTCCAAAACGAAGGGAATAGGGCTGATCCGTGTAGCTTGAATATAGGGAAGAAGGGAAGAAAGGACGGGAAGGGAAGGGAGGAGACGGCCAAGCAGTGCGGCCCAGATAAGATTAGTGGGGTTTCGGAACAACAAAAACTGTGACTTGGTTGTGCGGGCGAAAGCTTAGCTTCCCACATATATAAGTCGACCAACCCTCTCTCTCTCCGGTACACCTCACCTCACTTCATCAACAACAACATCAACAACATCATCATCATTGAATCTCATACACCACGGGATTGAATCTCTGTGTGGGATTTCTTTTGTGAAGTACATCTACGCAACCAGTATATTTTCTAGAATTAGGTGGCGCAAAGCACTGAAAAGCTAGAATCATGTTGCCTCCACTAAGTAAAGAGTAAGTTTTCTATCCCCATCTCTATTTTTATCTCAATCATCGAATAAATAACTAAAAAGAATTTAGGGGCATCATCCACATGAGGGAGTCGCAGCTCCTCTCTTGGATTGCTGACCCTTTCACCAAATATGAGCATCCTCATGGGCATCATGGTGAGGGAGCGGATTACGCACTAACCCCCAAGCATCCCGAGGAGGCTCATGCAGTAGAGTCCGCAATTGAGACTCTTGAGGAGCACATTGAGGTTGAAGAAGCTACTCCGATTGAGCTGTTCTATGATCTCTTCTTCGTGGCCAATTTGACTACTGTCACTGGTGTTCAGTATATCACTGAATGGAGGAGTATGTTCCCCCATTCTCTCTTTTTTTTTTTCGCTGTAATAGACACTAATTATAGAGCAGACTTGTCATCTTACATTCTGTTTTTCATCATTCTCTGGTTTACCTGGTTGCATGTTACTCTTCTGGATGTCCGCTTCTCTGTTGATTCGGTCTATGAGCGCGTCTGCAAAGCCATGCATTTCGCTGTCATGGCTGCATTCTCTTCTGTCTCGACTGATTGGGATCCTTTTAGTCCTGATGACATCGACAGTGTGAGAGCACTGAAGACGATGACACTGACACTCATGTTTTCGAGAATCGTCATTGGGATTCAGTATATCGTGATCATGGTCTATGGGCGTTCTAGGAGGAAGGCAGTAGTACCAACTGGGATCCATGCGATTGTGATGTTCATTTCGGCTGGGGTATACTTGGGAGTGAGTTATCTTCTTTCATGTCGAGTTGGACGGACGCTGACTGTAGAACGTCTAGATGTTTTGGGGCTTTAAGGAGGCCACGAAGAAGAAGTCGTACCTGGGCTGGTATGCGATGGCCATTTTCGAGATTGGTGCAGTTATCGTAACATCGAGCATTTGGAAGTCCGTGAGCTTTAAGAAAACACATTTGGTAGAGCGCATGGGACTGTTGACACTCATTATTCTTGGAGAGGGTATTATTGTCATGCTGAAAGCTATCAATGCCGTCGTTAAAGGGTTTGGATGGACAAAGTCGACCTTTGGAGTCGTCGCTGCTGCGCTTTGTATCATCGTAAGTTTTCACTTTTCCATATCAAGTGTTATTTTTTTTTTTTTTTGCATATGGCTAAACGAATAACTAGTATCTTTTCTGGATGTTCTATTTCGACTACACTCCTCGCGATATTCACTATGGTACCATCAGGCAACAGATTTGGGCCATGCTGCACTTCCCCTTCCATCTTTCCATTGTTCTCGTCGTCGAAGGTCTGCGTCAGCTTACGACCATGCAATCCTTTAACCTGCTCGCAAGTGACATCGGTGCCACCGTAACTTTACTCGAACCCTTGACTTCCGAAGGTCTTGCCGAATATTTCCGCGATATCTTCGAAATAATTTACGAAGACGGCACTTCGAAGTCGGTCCTGAAGGGCTACTCAAAGATCCTGTCCACAATTGACGCCATGGAAGCAGCACCAAATCCCTCTGTCGAGTACGAGTCATACCTCCATACTATCCTCTTTGACGCGTACACTGGCCTTGGCGAGTACTACGGAATCAAGGCACCGGCAAAGACCGATAGCACCCAACAACTGATCGCAATGTTGAAGGTCTTCGACCTTGTGTTCCAGTACTTCTTCATTGCCCTGGGTTTTGTGTTCCTCCTGTACGCAGTGTTTGCAATCATTGTCAGGAGACATATGGATGTCTTTGATTACGTTTCCATTGGTCTGAGGTTCGCGGCGAGCTTGACATTCTTTTCGATGTTGGGCTTGTATTTCCGCCCCATCAAGCCTGATAGCTATATCAACTACATGTGGGGTGGACCGTGGCCAATTCCCACAGTTTGCTTCATCATGATCTTCGGTAAGTCATCTACTCCCTTGTCTTCAAACCTAGCACAAATAAACTAACAGAGCCACCCACCCACCCACAGTCCTGATTGTCGACAAAACCATGGCTTACTTCGCCCTCCAGCGTATCCGCAGCCGCACCAAGGCGTAGATTCCGCCTTTTTTTTTTCTTTCTTTTCTTTTAAATTTTTTTCCACTATAATTTTTTCCTGCTGCATAGTTCATCCCGTTAATTTTTTCCCTTCTACGAATCTTTTTTTCGTCCGGTAAAGAGTTTCATGTAGATCTGCATACGAGTTGTACTCCCTCCAGCAATGATGTCTTTTTTTTTCTGTCACGAATTTTCTTTTTTCCTCCTCTTAGTTCTTTAGAACGGTACTCTACGTGTACTTTACGCGTGGCCCATGTATGTACGGTTTACGAGATGATAAAAAGTAATGTACTCGATTTGCAACTTCATCCATTGGTCAAACGTACACTCGCGCAAACATTACATGGCAACTGTGCGGGATTCCGGAAGCCATCCATCCAAACATTACCCTGATAGCTAAACATCAAGCTACACCCACCACCCAATAATAGATACTACTACTATTATGTCCCAAATAGGCCTGCAACCGCACCTCACACACACACATTGACCAACTAGCGCGATCATACACTCTCACTCGACCCAAACCCACCATTGCCATGTGTAGATTGACCGATATACTGATACTGATATTTATCCACCACAACCACAACCACCACTAACCCCCCCCCCCCCCCCCCCCACTACAAATACCCACATGGCCATAACATCAACACTCAGAGAAAGAACAAAAAAAGATCCACTCCACTTCTAACCCTACGCCACAGCAGCATCCAACCTACAGTCTAGCCATCGAAAGCCAAGACTACAGAAAAACCTCTAGCGTAGAGAACCGTACCGGAGAGAGACCGGGTCAATGATACCATGTGCACATGTACATAGAAACGGAGAAGGAGCAGAGGAGGAGGAGGAGGAGGAGGAGCAGATGTCCCACCAACCCAACCCAACCCAACCCAACGCAAGGAGGAAAGGCAGGAGCACGATGGCCACGAGAAGGACGATTGTACGTACACAAGGCACGCAGATAGCCACACGACAAAAGCACGACAAGCAAGCAAGCAGAAAAATCAAGCACAAAAAACGACTCATAAGCAGCGGATACAAATCAATTTCCACCACCAGCCCGGGAAACTGGCCCGACTGACTAACTAAGCTACCATCCAGAAGCAACTACCAGGCCAATAGCAACAATCAACAAGAAGCAAGAAGAAAAACACACAGAGCAAAAAAAAAAAAACAAACAAACAAAAAACAAACAGAGACAGCAAAAAGCACAAAAAAAAAAGCACCCCCTCCCCCTCCCCACCCCACTACTCCACCAAAACCGCATCATACCACTCCCTATACACGTCCCTATTCACGCCCCCACACCCCACCACCCCCTCCACCAACCCCCCCACCTCCCCAATCCACTCGGCGACCCCAAAGCCCGCCAACGTCTCCCCCCCGCCCGTCGCCAATCTAACCCTCTCCCTGCTCCCCTCGGCCCCCAACCGCTCACCCACAAACCCCCTCACCCTCCCCGCCACAACCCTCACCACCGGGTCCCCGCCCCCCCTCGCCACAATCCTCCCCACCGCCCCCGCCACATGCCCCAGCACACTCTTCGGCGTCGCCACCGTCTCCGTCAAGAACGCGCAGATGCCCTCCGCCAGCGCACCCTCCCTCTCGTTCTCGGCGAGCAGCGCCGCAACCCGCTCCTTCAGCGCCTTCCACGCCGACCGCACGTCGCGCCGCAGCAGGTTCTTGGTCGTGATCGTGATGGCCGCCCCGAGCACGATGGCGCGGAACGCGGCGCGGAAGCCGTTGAGGCGGTCAATGTCGAGGTGCAGCGTCTCTGGCGCCGTCTCGGCCGTCAGCGGCGTGGTGTCCAGCGTCGCGATGAGCGCCAGGTATGCGTGGTTCCAGATCTGGATCGGCGCGGGCCGACTCTTCGGGTGGTTGGCGCCCTCGGTGTCTCGCGCCGCCGCTTCTGCCATTTTCGCCGCCTTGGCTGCGAGCAGCCAGGCGGTGGTGCGCGTGAGCGATGTGCGCCCGGCTTCGATGTCGGCGGCGAAGAGGCGGCGCTCGTAGGGCGCCGCCTCGGGGATGACATACTGGGCGGACATCATGAGGAGGAAGTTCGCATGGTCGAGCTGCAGGAGCTCCAAGACGTCGAAGAGGCGCTGCAGACGGTCGATATAGTCGCCATTGTGGCTCAAGAGGGCCTGGACCTCGGCGTCTCTTGCCGGCGAGCATATGCGCGGCAGGAGACCCAGGACAAAGGCGAAGAAGCGCTCGTGGTCGTATGTGCCGTGCTCGCACTGCTGCGCGATGAGGTCCATGTCGATTGCGTCGGCGATGGTGCGGTGGAGGGCGCCGGCGGGGTCGAGGAGGTGGAGCAGCTTGGATTTGACGGAGTGGGCCATGGGCGGGAGCCATTTTGTGAGGTTGCGGTTGTGCAGGACGTCGTCGCGCATGAGGTCCCAGAAGGCGCGTTTGGCTTCGCGCTCGACAAGCTGCTCGAGGGGCGGCTTTTGGCGTTGCGTTAGTTTGAAGTCGCGGTTGAGGGCGAGCTCGTGCACGATTTGGCGGTTGCTGAGGGTGCCGCTGGTGGAGAATTGGGAGAAGGCGTCGTGGGTGGGGTCTGCGGTGGGTGGGGCAGCTATTGGGACAGAAGCCTGGTCGGTGATAGGAGACGCAGGTGTATTTGCAACCCTAGAAGCTGCGGTGACCGCGGTGGAGACAGTGTTGCTCTCCGACGAGCTCGGAGTCTCGCGGGGCCTTGTATCGCCCTTCTCCTTCTTCGGAAGCCTGGTCCTCCTGGCCTCCTTGACAGCCTGTCTGATGAGGCCTCTCGTCTTCTCGCCGGCAAGCCGTCGGATGCGGACAAGCAGTATCAACTGGTTCTCCCTGATGCCCTCCTTGAAGTCTGCCGCCACATGCTCCTCGGTGTCGTCTTTGACCTTCTGCCAGATCAGGTCCAGCTCGGCATACTGCGCGACCATGGTATTGATCAGGATCTCCGAGTCGCGGGCTTTCCACGAGGTGAACGCCGTGCTGAAGGACTCCCAGGTCTCGGCCAGATGCTTCGCGGGCGGGAACGTCGGCGCAGACAAGAAGGACTCGAAGGCGATTAGGAGATCTTTGGACTTGGTGATTAACGCCTATTCCATGACCGAGTCAGTATCCATGATCCGCACAGTCACAATATAAAAACACAAAACGTACCTTTTCATTCTCGCCGTCATTGCTCAGGACTTCAGCTGGGTGTCCCAGGATCAGATACGCACTCAGGAACGTCCTACAGGCAACCTCGACGTCGACCTCGCCCTCGGCGGCCGCGGAGCTCCCCAGCAGCCCGCAGAGCTTCAACAGCCGGGCCGTCGCCTTCTGGACGCCCTCCTCCTGGAACTTATTCGAGATATCCTCAAAGCTCGTATCTCTAACGCTCTCGATCGTCAGTCCCAGCCCCAAGAAGCGCTTCACAATCTCCCTCCTGACATGCCCCCTCCACACCCTCTGTATGCACCTCGCCGCCTCCCCCCTCACCTCCTCCACACTCTTCACCCTCCCCCCCTCCAACCTCACCCTCTGCAGCGCCGCCGCCGCGGCCCCCTCCTCCTCCTCCTCCACATCACTCCCCCCATCCACCCTCACCGCCCCCCCAACGCTACCACCACCACCAGTAGTCCTCCTCCTCCCCCTCCGCTCCCTCAACACCTCCATCCTCCTCCTCTCCGCCTCCATCATCCGCTCCTCAACCCCACACCGCAGCGCCCTCGCCTCCCTCTCCCGCCGCTCCCTCGTCTCCCCCGCCAGCCGCTTCGCCTTCGCCACCTCGCTGGCACAGCTGCCCGCGATGCGCGCCAGGATGGCGTTGCGGCTCTCCTGTGCCTGGCTCAGCGCCTGCTGCAGCGCGAGGAGCCTTGCGCCGACGGCCTCGTGGCTGCTGGCCCGCGCGCGGCGCACCTTCTCGACGTGCTGCGCGCGCTGGCGCAGCAGCGACTTGCGGCTGTCGAGGAGCAGCTGGCGCCGCGTGGTGGCCAGACTGGAGGCCGTGAGCGGCGCGGTGCAGGGGGAGTGCGTGCCGGTGGGGGTGCGGCGGCGCTTGCGCGAGAAGCGGGCTTCGAGGTGGGGTGGGGGGTTCCAGGTGGTGGGGGTGGGGGGGTCGTCGGGGGTGTGGAGCATTGTGGTGGTGGTGGTGGTGTATCTAGCTGTAGGTATGTGGGTATGTATGTGGGTATGTATGTATGTGGGTATAAGTATATCCTCGGTGTGTATCGATCGCTATGTATTCTTAGTGAGCAGAGCAGAGCAGCAGTCGGTGAAGCTGTGCACAAAATAAAGAAACAAGAAAGGATGCGTGAGATGAGTGAGATGAGTGAGATGAGATGAGGTAGAAGATGAGGAGAGCAAGAGAAAGAGAGCCGTGGAAGTAGCCAGCCAGTCAGTCAAAGGGAGGCTGGGTGCTGCACTCTACCGCCGGCCCGAGTATCTGGGCACCAACCAACCAACCAACCAACCAACCAACCAGCTCTAGCCACAGACAGCTGGGCGTGATGCTGCTTCAACTTGCACTTCCTTGCCAGCCAGCTTCAGTTCGACAGACAGACAAAACAGGATGCACGACAGCTCCGGGTCCCAGGCCGGGTTCGTGAAACAGAAGCAGAAACAGAACACACAGGGCCAGTTGTGACACGTGCTGTGCCTTCCCCTTCTTGCTTGATACGAGACAACAGGCAAGCAGAGCAGGTATGGAGATTCCCTGTCTGCTGTCTCTGTCTGCTCTGCTCCACACCCAGTTAGTTCCCCGTGCCTCGCTAGTTACAGCCCAGTTGCCTCAGGACAAGACTCATCTCAAGCCCTGCTGCACCCATCCCATCCCATCCCAGCCCAGCCCATCCCACCCCATCCCAGCCCATCCCATCCCAGCCCAGCCCATCCCACTCCATCCCTTCCCCAACGTACGTACACAACTCCTGCTGACACTCCATTCTGGAACCTTCGCGCGCATGCCACTCCCTGCTCCACCTGCACCTTTGTACCCAGCCCGTCCCCGCCCCCGTCCCCGTCCATGTTGCTCCAACTCGCAAGTCTGTGGTTGCAGCCCGTGGCTGATCGTCTCGTGGCTGGCTGGCACACAACACAATGCAAGGCAAGGCAGGGGTTGCAGTGTCAGTGTCAGTGTTGCTATCGATAAAACACATCCATCACATCCCCCCCCCAACCCCACCCTTATCCTCGGCAGGAGACTGGCTCCATGACTTCTGGAAAACGGGGCGTTATCCATCTAGAAAGTAGGGTAGAGAGTAGAGTTGGCTTTCCGCGCATTTGCAAGTGCGGCCCCCCCCCCGGGAAACCATGTGTAGGTACACACACACAATAGACTTTAGAAGTGAAGCAGATTAGTGTGACAGCAATATATCCGGCCGGGGTGCCTTTAAAAAAAAAATACAAGTGGTGATGATCATCGTCGGTACAGACTACACAGTGCACAACGAACATCGTGAAAACCCCATCTCATCTCATCTCATCCTCAACGACATCTCTACAACAGACCTCCATTTCCCCCCCCCCCCCCCTTCCACCCATCCCTACAAACATGGAAGCCGACCTCCTCGCAACCCAAGCCCGCGCCGCCGTCGACACCCTCACCGCGCAACTCCACCACCTCGAGTAGGCCCCCTCCCCCCCCCCCCTCCCACACTCCCACACTAACACCCCCCCCCCCCCAAAAAAAAAAAGGCACGAACAAACCACACTCCTCACCTCACTGCACCTAACGTGCAGCACGCTCTCCACACTCCCCAACTACACCGCCATCGCACCGACACTCTCGCAGATCCCGCACTACGAGCACAAGCTCGCGCGCCTCAAGGCGGCGATGGCGCAGCAGCAGCGGGACGTGGCGGAGCTGAAGCGGCGGGCGCTGGAGGCCGGGGCGCGGCGGCGCGCGAACCTGCGCAGGATCGAGGAGGCGCGCAGGGGCGAGAGGGAGAGGGATAGAACGGTGCTGAGGGCGAGGGTGATGGATGAGCGGGAGGGTGAGGGTGAGGGCGAGGGCGAGGGGGAGGGGGAGGGGGAGGGTGCGGTTGAGGGCGGGGATGCGGCGGGGACGGGGACGGGGACGGGGACGGGGACGGGGACGGGGACGGGGACGGGGACGGGGACGGGGACGGCGGCAGGAAGTGGGGTAGGGCCGGTGAGGACGGTCAGGAGGAAGAAGAAGGCGAGGGTGGCCGAGATTCAGTGATGGGGCCCCTTTATTTGTTTTTGCGGCGGTGGGGGTGTTTTATAGTGTTTTATTAATAGCATTAGGGCCCTTTTTTTTTTCTTTCTTTTCTTTTGCTTTCCTCTCTCTTCCCTTTGCTGCTGTTTCTTGCCGGTAACATAAACAACATGGCAGCAAAATGCAGCCAGCGCTGTCTGCTCAATGTAATTTCCGTCCGGCGTCGTGCAAAGACCAACGCGTTGAAGATGGTAGTGGTCACCTATACCCTAGACAGGTGCCAGGCATATAAAGCCAGTCTTACTGTCTTTATCAATGTCCTCGTAATAAATTAACAAGTAAAAAAACATCCTTTCGGTCGCTCTGTGCATAATAATAATAATAATACAGGGCTAGCCATCCAAGGCGATGATATAGCATAAGTCAGTCGCCCCCCCAGTCCTCTTGATATATTGGGACATCTAGCCTTTCCTTTCAACAACTAGGGGGGCAATATAGCCACATAGATGGCACCTGCACTTCTAGGTAATAATAATAATAATAATATGCGACATCACGTCCGCCGTAAGCACCCGCGCACCGGCAGCACAAATTCCAAATTCTAATCCCAAAATCCGCACAATACGCATATCCGCCGCTCAGTATTTTGACGACGGCGGCTATATATATATGCGCAGAGCAGTTTCCCATGCTCCTAGCCCAAGCGACCCTCCCTGGCTGTTGCCCCCCCCCCCCCCCCCTCCACAGGCCAGGTTGTCGGACAGAAGCCGAGAGGCGACAGAGTCGACCGGGGAGGCCACAATCACCCGGTATCAGTAGTAGCGCAAGCTCTCGAGCTCTGGTGTTCCTGCGGTGCATGCTTGTAGCTTGGATGACTTCGATTCCCCTACTTATCTAGATACCTAGACACTTGAATAGGATATGTATACCCCCCCCCCCCCCCCGGCCCCCCTCATGATTAGTCGAGTGGTAAGTAGTAGGTGGTGAGTAGTACATAGGTAGTGAGTGGTAAACTCATCTATCCTGTTGAAAACATAGGACGAGATGGTATGTAGTCACGGGTAGGACAATTGTCAACATGACATGTTCGGACAGCTCACCTGTACGGGTCCAACATCTCTTGAAAGCCAAATATCCAACATATCCCAACGTTATTGAGCGAGTGATATTTCATGAACGTGGTTTTCTCCACACAATATTGTTACTAGACTGGCTATGTATGGTTTAATACCAACTATGGCACTAGTAGATAAGATTTGGCTCTATCTTAGTTCAAGCTTGAATGTTTGGATTCTCAGATCGGCTCGCCCCGTGAATTGGAGATATGGGTCCGTACTTCAATGGGGTTAAAGTTCTTTATCTCTAAGTATCTTCCATAAATGTATCCAATGGTACTCCACGCCCCGTAGCGTAGGACTGCGGTTACAGTAGATAATGTCGGGACACAGGCTGTGCTAGACTACATGTACCTATGCCATCTAATCATACTAAATTCCAAATATTGCTCTCACTCACCCCCATAACTAACATTTATCCTCAATTCGGCCAAACCTACGGTCATTAGCAAGCACTGAACAAAGTTGTCATCGGAGAACTCATTCCGTAGTACGCCTAATCATCTCCACCTCTAGTCTCTCCCTCGTCTTCCTCGAGACCCTCAACATCCACTCCACCACCCTTACTCCCTCCCCCCAGCCACCCGCACTATCCACCGCCGGGCACTCACTAGTCTCGGGGTCTACCACCAAATCATCCTTAACACGCGTAACCAACTCTCTACAAAACGGACACGGGAAAAAAACAGGCCGCGGGTTGTAGGGCTTCCCCGGTAACTGCCTCATCGAATTCCACAGCCGCTTAGTGCAGCTAGTGCAGGCGCTGTGCCCGCATACTATGAAGAGGACTTTGTTTGCACGGCGGCTGCAGATGGCGCAGAGGAAGTTGTCGGCGGTTTCGTGGTCTGAGGCGGAGGATGCGGATGAGCCTGGAGAGACGCTGCGGGGTGCTTCGGGGCGGGGGTTGGGGGGTGCGTGGAAGAAGTCGAGGAGTCGGTCGATGAAGTCTCTGTCGTCACGGCTGGAGCCTGATGTGTTGTCCCGGGCAGGCTGCCCTGGGTTGGCGCTGTTGCTAGTGTTAATACAATTATTCATGATTTTTTTTAGTGTGCCTTTCAAGGTGTTAATGCTAATAATATGAGTTGTAAGCTAGTGCTCCTTGTAATTTAGCTGTGATGTGATTGATGCGATTGTAATGAGTTTTAAGACACTGGGGAGAATCTGCTTAACATATATAGACGTCAATGGGGCATTGAGATATCAAGATATCATAACCTCCGCATGAACCGCAAAATGGATTCAAGTTTTCTGCGTAGCTACCCACGTAAACGAATGTAAAAGCTATAACCAGATGTGATCATGAACATCATACTGTCAGCAACTTTCAAGTTGAATTTTGAGTAAGTTGAACGTTAGGCATGAGCTTGTTGGTCTTTGGCCTGGGCAAGCTCGGGTAGTAGAGAGAGAGGCCCAGAAGCTTTAGCTAGATCGCAAGACTCTTTGGGCTCCAGCTCATGTCCAGTTGCCCAATATTTCGAGTAGCAGTAATCTGTATCCAACGTGATAATTAGTTGGGAAGCGACAATATCTAAACCCGTGGCTTGATACAGTTATTGAAAGTATGACCCTGAGTTCGATATACTCCAGTACCTAGACATCGAGCTAGCCCTGTACTTGTCAAACGGTAGTACCCAAGCCCGCACATGGTTCAAAATCGCATTTTGAGAAAACTCGGTCCTATGAGACCCAAGCGAGTCTCGCTATCCAGATGTGCGGCCATAGCCGTATCTCGTCATCCCAAAGGGGATACATACCGCACTGTCATATAAGAAGTTAGTTCATACCCTTCCATTCCCAAGGCATACTCCAATTGGTCAATTTAAAGAGCCTCAGAACTCCACACAAAGAGCCTCAGCCTTGTATTCCAAGTTTTACCCAAAACGCCTAGGCCCGGGGAAACACTCAAGCCCCAGCTAGGGCGGGACCTATTCATGACCACTGTTCAGCGTCTGGCGAGGGTGGAGGTAGTTATTAGCTCCAGTAATAAGATAAGGAAGGAGCAGCAAGTAGTGATAGAGCCCTGGTTGACAGCGGGGCGGTGATTGCAGAACTCATGTCGATGCGAAGTTAAGGTGGAGGAAGGTGGGATCGAGTGTGCAAGCCGCTTCCTGTCGGGTTACATGTACTTTTTAACCCTTTCCGCTAGCTTCTGCGCGGTACTGTAGGTACGCCGCAGCATGGCTTGTGTGATCACTGAAGTAATCAATCAATCAATCAAGCTTGTGTCATCACAGGAAATCACTCGTGCGCCAAGAACACACCTCCTGTGCTACGTCTACAACGTCTTATAACACACAACTTACGCGTAGTGCTGCAGCACATCCATCTCCATCTTGAGGAAGTGGGCTTTTTTCCAAATCGTATAATTCAGGTATATACCGGTCGAACCTGCTCTAAATTCTGATCGTCCACGAGATCGACATCTTAGGATTTTCTAGCTAGTGAAACGTGCGGATTCTAGGAGTTCTAGCTACATAGACGTCACCTTCACCTGCCACCAAACTCCGCCCACATAGACAGCTGACACAACAATAAGAAAATCTACGTTGTTACCGGCTTCTACACCTCTTCTCAACTAATCACCACCACTGTCCGACTGAAAGTCAGTGTTCGAGTGAGTGATGAAGCGGCCGGTCTACACCAGCAGGGCATTCCAGTGACAAGGTCACTTGTCATAGACCACTCAGCCAATTAATCGGGTGGTCGTTTAGCGCCTATGTCATTAATGATATCTTGAGCTGCAGGGTCAGTGGTTAAACTTGGGAAGCGAGAGCAGCGATGTGATGCCCCGCGTGGTAGCGATGTTTTTAGATTCATGAGGTTTTTTTATTACTCAACCCCCACGCCTTTTTATATATTCAACCCATTAACATCTTAACTATTTCTTACCATCTTATGTGTTTCTGCTCATCACGATTCCTCTAACGACTGTTACCTACAACATATATAGCTCTATCGGAAGCCGAATCGAATATTAAGGCCTTCTTTTGCCGACACCTCAAGGATGTGCTATGTTGGAGCACGTGCATTAGCCTCGTGAGAGACCTCTGAATATTCTAAGCCACGGGGCGAGAAAAATAGCTCTTCGGCCTTGTGGATTAGATCATATTTATTGTCAGTTCTTAGCTCAAGTTCGGCACCATATACCGAGCAGAAGTACGTGTCACGAGTCTAGACCTTCAAAACAGATCTAGGGGTTAGATTACACGATTCACACTCGATTGGAAAAAAGAAGGTCACAGATTTTTTCGAAATAACGGTAAATGTACTAGACCCATTCCATATGATAGATTTTGACCGCTAAGCAGCTTGGCATATATCGAGTGATAATACATGCAGAGAAAGAAAAAATATCTAAAATACATATGTAGGTAGAATAATTTACGCAGCACCAGAGCTTTATCATACGCCCCTACACCGATGAGTTGTTTCCCTAGCAATTCCATCCTCATAGGTTCTTGGCATCGCGCAGCTGCCTAGTGGACCCCTGTAACTCCGATACCGCCCGTATCCGCACCCACAGAAAACAAGCTTCCAGGTCGTAGCGAACTTCTGGCCAAGCCAATTGAAATTCCCCGCGGCATGCATCCCCACCGCCGCGCCAGTACATGAGCTTGCATAACCGTTTAACCAATTTCGCAAGAATTTGGGGCGATGGCGCAATCGAAGGTAGGTATGGGGTACAGAGCTCTTCGCGCTTCGGTGAGGTAATTCATGGTGATGTGGATTGTGCTCTATTATCTACACAGCTTCGGATGATTAGGCTTCCGGTGTGTTTTTGGATTTGGTTTTGGATGGAGGTATGTGGATGACTAGGGCTTTTTTGTTCAAGCTTGTAGAAACGAGATATGCTTAGTATTGACTATCACAAAACAACATAGATCATACTCGAGCTCATAATCAAATAAAGCAAATAAACAAAGCTTATACTAACTATTTAGCTCACTATTCTCTTACGATTGATCTTTTGAATCGCGCCATGCTCCAAAAGGGAAACAAAACCTCAAAAGCAAAACAAATTCCCGTACACAAAAAAAGAAATAACCAAAACCTCTGGCACTACTTCAATACATCCCCCTTATCGTTCCCAGAAGGCGTGCTTCCACCAACACCATCTTTTGTAACTGCCGACACAGCCCTCTTCTTCTCCAACAACAGGCTCTTCAGCCATTCATTCTGCTCCTCCAGCTTCTTAATCCGTGCCTCCATCAATCTGACCTTCTCCGCAGCGTCTTTTGCGTCTTTTGCCAGCTGTGCTTCCTTTTCCTTTTTCTTGACCCGGAACCTAGCTGACGCCGCGGTGTTTCGTCGACGCTTGTCTTCATCAACTGCCGCGCCCGCCCGGGACACAGGTTCGTCCCCGAATTGCTCGGAGGATGGGGACTGAATATGGTCGGAAGAGCTTGCGGTTGATGCTTTTCGGGCTCGCATGTTACTGCGGGATGGATAAGGCGACTGGCCGGGAGACGATGCCTCTGATGCTGGTGCAGGAGGGGGTGGAGGTAGTGGAGCTAATGGCTTGACAGGACGGTTGCGAGTACTGGGGGAAATCGTGGACGGCGTGAAGCTTCTATCGATATTTGGAGAAGATGGGGTGGGCTGGGTAGGACCAAAAGGGTACGTATCATAACCGTAGGGGTCAAAGTCTACATATCCAGAGAGGTGTGTGGTTAGCTGTCAAGATCAACACAAATAACTGTTATGGGTACCCTGGGGTATGCTCCTGCTGATGTAAGTAATCAATAGGTGAATACATGGATGGAGATAGATATTGATTACTATAAGGTAATCAAAAGATATTTAAGAAAAAAATAGCCGGTAGCGAGTATCCTCCTTCTTTGTGAGGAGCTCCCCCCGAAAACCCATGGGTATGGGGTACGGGAGGCTTCATGCTTAATTGGTAGATATCAAAGCCGTGGTGATTCGTACAGAACAAGACGCGTGCAGAACCGAAGGGTGGTGGCTCGGAATGAGGGTGTGCTCACCAACCACTTCCTGCATATTTGGGAGAGGGATATGAGGGTCGAGAACGGCTGCCCATGCCAAAAGGCCCGGGACCAAACAAGCTCATCGACGACTTCACGTTCATGAATAAAGAAATCCATTTCTTACCATTAAGGAAATCCATACCCCCATTTTTCAGCTCCGGATCAATCAAATCCGCCCTTCCAGTCTCCCCACCCTCCCTATTATGGTTGCGCCTGTCATCAGGACCAATATCGAAGTCAAAGAATCGTGTATTCGTAAAGATGGCCAAGTCATCCGGATTGAAGGCGACGTCAGTGTCATCGATGTCAGTTGATGGCAATGGTAGGGCGTTTAGGTCCTGAAGACCACCGCCTGGAGCTGACATGGCTTTGAGTGTGTGAAAGAAGAAGTTACGAAGATTGTTTCCAGAATATTAACGCAGGTGTAGAGTTTTTTGTCGAAAAAGAAGGAAGGAAAGAAGGAAAGAAAGAGAGAAAAATGATGTTGCTCTCGTGCCTAATATTCTCACAACTGCCCCCCCCCCCCCCCCCCCCCAAACCGACCCACCTTTCTACCTTCCCGTATCCCCTCTCCCTCGATAGAGCATGTATCGTACTTCACACAGCCGGTGCCAAGCTGTGATAACTGATCTATCTGATCGCAGCTGAATCGAGATGGCAAATGATATACCATCTCTAACGTAGAAGGTCTTTCCTTCACTCTCCGATCTCTACTTTAGGCTTATGATAAATTTGGTATGTTTTTGGTTATAATCTACATGGGGGGGAAGCAGTATATATCCAGGTATGGAGGTACATACATCTGTTCATTGCGATCGCAGGAGTGCGTGTCAATACTGTACGTCGACTTCGAAGACGCCATCGTGGTGGATTCTGTCGAAATATCTAGATGCAGGGATCATCGTTTTGGAAGCGATTCTAATTGGATAGTGTCTGTGCTAGCTGGGAAGCTGCGCATGCAGGTTTACAACCTTTCCGTTTGTGGAGCAGGAATAGTAGGGCGGATTGTTACACCCTGGATGAGGAAAGACTTATCAATTTCTTCCTTTTCTAGTCTTAAACTCTACAGTTTATCTCATTCTTCTAAAACTGCTACCTTCTGAAAAGTGAATAGCCTTGTATAGCTGGGAAATCTTGGAAGGGTGCATGCTCACCGCCCCAACTAATGCGGCCAAATCCGACTTACGGTTCCTCTCTCTCTTCAGAGTAGATATCAAAACCCGTGTGTTCACTCGGATCATTCGCCCTCCTCCCCTGCTTTCCATCCTTGACCTCCGGCAGACCCTTCCAAATTTCATTTATCCTCACCATGTCACTTTCCTCCAACATGAACAGCTCTCTGTTCTCCCTGATTCGCTCCCTCGATGCAGATTTCGGAACAATACTAGTCCCTCTCTGCACACCCCATGACAGCAAGACTTGTGCTGGGGACTTGTCATATTTACCCGCAATACTCAGGATCGTAGGATCGGTCAGCGGGCCAGAAAGGTGGGCATTCAAGGCTACTGCCGGAACTGGACGTCCGCCGAGGGGCGAATGCGCAGTGGCGTGAATACCATTTGCGGTGAGGAAGGTAATGAGGTCATGTTGGGGTAGGTAGGGGTGTAGTTCGATCTGGTTTATTGCGGGGAGAATGCGTGGATTTGAGGAAAGGAGACGTTTGGTTTTGAGGAGGGAGAAGTTAGAGATCCCGATTGCTTTGGTGTGACCAGTATCCACAAGATCCTCCATTGCGCGCCAAGTAGACATGAAGTCTCTGGATCCGGCGATGTCTACCTCAGGCTACACACAAGAATGTTAATATATTCCCGGAAGAAATGATTCTGTGGTTTCGATCAATGGGAGACATACGCCTCCGTCAGGCCGCTTCTTGGTGGCATAATTTTCTCCCGGAACATAAGCAGTTGGAACTATCATTTGTAAGCTCCATATCGGGGTTTTGGCAAGTATGGCATCATACAGTGCATAAGATACAAATCAACTACTCATAACATCAGTTAAATTCCTATATATATCGAGGTACAGTCCTAACCGTAATCAAGACCCAGGTCTTTCAAACTGATCTCGATCCCAACCTTAACATCCTCCGGCTTGTGAAAGGTATTATACCTAAATATTCCCAGCCCCACCAATCAGCATTCGATATTATTTATCGCCTCACACAAACATACAATTTACTCGTAACCCATAGATCCTCCCTCTTACCCTTTCCCTCTGCGATCCACTGAGCAATCGCTTTCCCTACCTCTTTTTCACTCCCATACGAGAATGCAGTATCGATATGGCGATACCCGGCCTCTAGTGCCTCTAGCGTTGCAATTCGCACCGGGTCTTTCGACGCAGTGGGATTGATGAAGAGGTTTGGATCGAAGGTACCGAAGCCAATTGAAGGGATCGATAGATAGCCTAGACTATTCTTGAGGAGGTAGGAAGCGGAGAGTTTGGATGAGGACATAATTGCTTTTTTGATGGTGAACATGCTAAAGGTCTTTAGAGGTATGGGACTAACTACATAAGTATATGAGTAGCGGGGCCAGGTCACCACTAGTAGTAGTACTACGCGAGAGCCAAGCTTTGTCGGAGTTTGGGGTGGGGGAGGGTTAGCTGTCGATCAACGCTTGGAGGTGCGGGGTGTGTGAGGTTCTTGGGAGTCGGGATTGATCCTAGGATCCCGTTGAGGCCAAGAGGACCCTGAAAATATCTTTTGGCTGGCCTAAACATTGGGATCGGGCTGGTCGATTTTGCCTGCATACTGTGGTGCTGGGAACCGGCCAATATGTTTCCAGAAGTTTATGCTTATATTAACTGTTGGCCTATTGATACATGATATGAGCGGTCATGCATATTACTCAATCCCATTTGAGAGACAGGGACATAAGAGGATGTTTGCTCCCGTTAGGCAATTTGTTTAGGGATCGGCCATGAACTTTGATGTTTGCAAGTTCTGTCAGCATTGAATTCTTGGAGTATGTACATCCTTTTCATATTTGCAATTGACATTAAATTATTCGCCTAAAATTGTTATTTCGTGACAGATCAGTAATTAAGCGTTCATATGACCTTTTCACTGTTTATTTGGATGCGTGTATCTTAGGAGTTGTGGTTGAGCAAGCGATACGTGTCTGAAATCTTAAATTCGGCCCAATACCAACACTTTCCATATCAGACTAATGCCTTGAAGAATTGTCTTTTACTTTGCCACGAGGTTTGGAGGCCCAAGACGTTTTATACCTGAAAATGACTTCCAAGGCACCCGTCCCGTTATCCATCGAGGTTCTCCCGCTCCTGTTAGATTGCAGTGCCAGCAAATTTCGCTTGAATTTCACATCTTCCCTTAACCTCTCGCTCCCTGATTCCAGTTGGCTGGTAGATTTTAAATGGAGAGATTTGGAAATCATTAGGGGATCGGGGTTTTGTGTATGCTCCTCCTACTCCCCCCCCCCCCCCACCCCCACCCTCGGGTCCCAGTGCTAAATGTACTCTCCAGTTGAAAATCAAGTTTCAATGGCATGGACAGCGTATGGAAGAAACCTCGATAGAAGAATTAGGAAGATGGATATCAGGAGCAGAAATGTGGTCTCAGTTGCTACTTTCCGCATCGTTGGAGATTCCAGAGCGGGTGCAAGTTGGGATTGATGCAAGTAGTGGAATTGATAGCGAGGAGCCTGGGCCAGATGTGATAAGTAAGGCCCAAATACCCACGAAAACTAAAACACACCGCCTATCAGTTTAATTCACTTCTAAGTTTTCTCTCAGTTGTCCTGATCCGCACATGTCAGTTATCGGCCGCTACTGAACTTTTCCTACCAAAAATCATACCTACTGCTTTCCTTTCAGATATATCTCTCAACTTCCTCTTCAATTCAAATGAACCCTACTGCCCCTATGGAACACCAAGTTCTATGGAACTAATGCCACAGATCGATACGGCAATTCGTGGTCTCTGGAATGATAAGATAGCACAGTTAGCACCAATTCTAGGAAAGATTGGGTACTTGGAAAGTGTTAGTCAGAACTCCGAGTACATTACTGTTATCAGCGACGCAATGACAAATGTCGGCGCAAGAAGTCAGAATAAGTCGCTAGGAAGGTCCATTGAAGAGCTGGGCGGTAATGGTGGGATAGAAAGAAAACTATGGGGGTGTTTATTGAGGATTTCGGATGAGAACAAAGGAAGGGCGGGAGGTATCTTGAAGAGCTTGATGAACATTGAAGGGGATCTAATAGCCAGCAAGACTACGTGTGATGGCGAGGAACAGGACGTCTTATTTCTACCCGAGGAAGATTTTGAGGAGGATCAAAAGGAGGAACTATTTTTTGATGATATCTCTGCGGACGAAAATAGCCTTTTCTCATGGGATGAAAAAAGCGAATGCGGCGAGGGAGGCAAAAGTGACAGTTTGTTTGGTTGGGAAGACGAGGATGAGTCTTCGTTGTTTGAGACCCCCAGAAGCCCACTTATGGGCCTGGGACTCTTTGCAAACGAAAATGAGCTCCCTTCCCTTGAAAATCATGAGTCTGAATCTTTGTTTGCACCCGAAACATCCACCGAGAATGTGGGGGACGAGGATATGATATGGATTTAACTTATTTAGCTACTACGCAACGATCACGAGAAACATACTGAAGTCAATTATTGATAGGTCAGGACCATATAGGTTAGATGCCCATTTGGCGCGGACCTTATTAATATAATGATGTCCATTCAGACTTTCTTTATACATTTACCTATACATGCAACTTACATAATATATCTTTCCATCGTGTAAAGTAGTTCACGATGTACGTGATGTACTTATAGAAAGGACCAACCAAACCAGTCAAGGCAAATGGTGCAAGATCATAGGGTATGACTCGGTTAAATAGTATTGTCCCATTGGCAGGAACATTCGAAGCCTGACAACTAAATGCAGCCATTCTACTATTTCCTTCTTATTTTTGCAATTTGTCCCATAGGCCGTTAGTCGGAATCCCGAACCTGATATGGTAACTGTGCTCTGTTGAACGCACTTAAGATATTTATGTAACACGTTATCAAACTCTTGGTATTGTGTATCGCAGTTATGAGATCATGTTACAGTTCCTACCTCAGATCTTCGGATAGGAGATGCAACTACTGCATTCCACTCGAACTAAAACCCGAACTTTATGCAATTCGAATAAAGTATATCAGGGCTGATATAGACGCCACACCGGGATGTAGGTACATACTGCTAGTCCCAAGGTGGCACGGAGTAATTATTGATAGAAAGGCGCAGCAAGTTGGATCTGATGATTGGAGGATAGGGCCATCTAAATAGAGCACCTACCTCCTCGAGATGTGCATAAGATTATCGGGCCGTGGGGAATACGGATTCCTTAAACGCGACGTTGAGGTCCAGGGGGCGTATTAACACCGCCCGAACACGCCAAGACTCCGGTCCAGGCCACGAACGCTTTCTCGAGGTTCAAACATCTTCATCTTAAAGTCAAGGGTCAGCATACTAGAGCTGACGACGACCCTCCCAAACTCTCCCCCACTTCAGCCATTCCTTTCCCCCACGATCTTCTGATCTTCATCGTCGGGCTGGATCAGATTGATATACTTCTAAATTACTATTCTACAGAACTTCCTTCCACTATTCCAACGGAATTTCTTTCATCCCTTGTCTAAACACCTTGCGAGCCGGCCAGTCAAGATGCGCTTAACAGCGTCATCACTCCTCTTCGGAGCTATTGCATTATCAGCTATAGGAGGAGTTCTTACAGCTCCTACAGATGCGCCCGCTTCTTCTGCACAGTATTTCGTGAAGTCCCTTCCCGGGCAGCCGAAGGGGCCACTGATCAAGATGCATGCTGGGTACGTTGCTCCCCTTTATCCCTTCCTATCTCGTGTTTTCTCCATTATCACCAACTCGGCTCTAACAACCACGAAATAGACACATTGAAGTCGACGCCGCTACGAACGGGAACCTCTTCTTCTGGCATTTCCAAAATAAACACATCGCGAACCGGCAACGTACCGTAATATGGCTCAACGGGGGTCCGGGATGTAGCAGCATGGATGGCACTTTGATGGAAATTGGTCCTTACAGAGTAAAAGAAGATCAGACGCTCGAAGAGAACCCCGGAAGTTGGCACGAGTTTGCCAACCTACTATTTGTGGATCAACCTGTCGGTACCGGGTTTAGCTATGTTGATAGCAACCACTACTTGACAGATTTGGACCAGGTACGATAGATTCCTATCTTGAAGTAGGAATTAAAGCTAACTACATTTCAGATGGCGGATCATTTCATCAGGTTCTTGGAGAAGTGGTTTGCGTTGTTTCCAGAATATGAAGCCGATGATGTAAGCTTATGAACTCTGCGTCCCCAGCTTAAAATTAGACTGGAACTTACAAAAAATTTAGCTTTACATAGCTGGAGAATCATACGCCGGACAACATATCCCCTACATCGCTCAGGCAATTCTTGACCGAAATGCTAAATCCTCCTCGGCCACAAAATGGAAAATTGAGGGTCTTCTTATTGGAAACGGCTGGATTGATCCTGCACCACAATATCTTTCCTATCTGACATTTGCGTACAAGGAAGGGATCGTTGAGTCTGGCACCGATGTTGCAAAATCACTCGAAAAACAGGTCTCAATCTGCGCAAAGACACTTTCTGAAAAGGGAGCCAATCATGTTGATGTTCCTATCTGCGAGAGAGTCCTCACAGATCTCCTTGAAAAGACGAAAAAGATGAAGAATGGAGAGGAAAGATGTGTGAACATGTACGATGTTCGCCTTGACGACACTTACCCCTCTTGTGGAATGAACTGGCCTCCAGATTTGAAAGATTTGACTCCATATCTGAGGAAACCGGATGTTGTAAAGGCTCTGCACGTTAACCCAGGCAAGAAATCCGGATGGACTGAATGTGCTGGTGGTGTTAGCTCAGCGTTCCGCGCGAGGAATTCCAAACCTTCAATCGAGCTTATGCCAAATCTATTGGCTAATATGCCCGTGTTACTATTCTCTGGCGACAAAGATTTGATTTGCAACCACATAGGAACGGAGGAATTGATTCATGCTATGGAATTCAACGGTGGGAAAGGATTTGAGCTTGATGCTCCTGGCACTTGGGCTCCTCGGGAAGACTGGGTTTTCGAAGGTGAACCAGCTGGATACTACCAAAGTGCACGCAACCTTACATACGTTCTCTTCTACAATTCATCACATATGGTTCCCTTCGATTTCCCTCGCCGTACGCGCGATATGCTTGATCGTTTCATGGGCGTTGACATCGGGAAAATCGGCGGTATCCCTACAGATTCCATTATCGGTGGTGAGAAAGGTCCGGTTACATCTGTTGGCGGCACTCCTAATTCCACCACCGCCATTGAGAAGGAGAAGTCGAAAGTTGATAAAGCACGCTGGGACGCATATTACCGCTCTGGTGAAATTGCCCTCGTGTTTGTTGCTATTTCCGCTATTATTTGGGGTATTTTTGTATACCGCCAAAGGCGCAGTTACAGGAATTCCAGAAATGATGGGAAAGGCGCTTATAGGGGTGTAGGGATTGGTATGAAGAGGAGGAACATGAGGAGTGAGGAGAGCTTTGACGAGGATGAATTGAAGGATCTGACAGTCGAAACGCCAATGTTTGAGAGAGACCCCGAAAGTGGTGGTGCAGCGAGGCAATCGAGGTACAGTGTGGGGAGTGATGAGAGTGACGGAGAGGGGAGTGCAGCAAAGGAGCGAAAATGATCATATAAGTAGAGGAATAGTTATAGGACTTGGTGGCTGATCTTTTCTTTTCTTCCCTTTTTTGAGTTATGCTGGTGTTTAGTACTTGTATCTGAAAGTAGGTAGTAGTTACATGCAGGTCTACGAGGGCGGAAGAGAAGAAACAACACTTAAGGAGGAGACGCCAGTCGTGTCTATCCTCTTTCTGAATTGTCGGCGAATTGGGCGTGTATATAACTATGTCTTGTTCTGTTTTCTTTTCTTTCTATCTCGTTTTCTTTGTTTATGAGTGTAATATGATGTTCAGGGCGGGTTTATTTCTTATTTCTTACATCTTTTTTCTCCTTACTTCTTCTTTTTGTATCCGTGTTGGCGGCGGCGCACGGAAAGGAAGAGGGCGGGGACCCACAAACGCTTCTGACTATATATCATTGTCATTCTTTTCCTTAGCTCTGCTCCTGATATGGTCAGATTGTAACAGTAGTTTTATTCTATGATAGATCTTTTTTGAATCCCCTACCTGCATAGATTTGTCCCTCTCAGCCCTAGCAGCTAGTCCGATCAGTTATTGCAAAATTTAAAACGACAGCTGCTAAATAGTTATTTGAAATTGCGAGATATAGCAATATATATGTAGTGGTTGCTCAGGGCAAATATTCCCTTCATAGAATATCACTCGTTTATCTAGAATCTACCAAAATTGGTCAGATATCAAAGGACTATCGATATTACAGAACGAAAAAGGTCAATAGATTGAGAAAAATGATGAAGGGATAGAGATCTAGATACTAGGCTCATTCTAAAAGCTTTCTTCCTGCTACCCTGGTTATTGTGCCAAGATATATTCTCTCTAAAATACAATCGTTGGTTTCCAATATTTAATTGCTCGACAGAGCGGCCTGGTATCAGAGCTGTTTCCAATGGTATCTCATGCCCTCAAAACTTTTACAAGCATCTCTATGGTCTTACCATGGACTGGATGGGTCTCGTAACGTCAATAACTAGGGGTGGGGAGGCTTCGATGATTTGAACTCCTATCACTTCGTCTGTCCCACGCGCGTTAGATCCACTTCCAGAGCAGAAGGAGGATACAGAAGTTGGGGTAAAAAGCACTCGCTACAAATTCTCCGTCTCCCGAAGAACTTCTGATCGAATGGCCAAAAAATGTTATCCTTCATAGGGAGCCACGGCTACCCACCCGTTGTATTGCATGGAAACAGAGGAAGGGATGATGAAATATCATGTGCGAGTCACGAGGCGGTGTGCCACTGACTTTGGTTCAGTAAATACCAGAGAATGTACCCTCTTCGATAAGGTCTTGGTGAAGGTGTTGAGCTCTTAGTCAGCTTTGGGGGGGGGGGATAGGTGGACAAACACCCAATGCGTGGTCCGGGCTAGGGGATTTGCTGAATCCATGCACCTGATAGCCTTCGTAGCGGAAGTGGTGCAAAGTGTATAAATAAGTCATCAAACTCACGTGCACAGATAACTATCGCTAAGTAAAATTCTGGCCGAGAAATATGAAAAAGGAAACTACATCCTTCTGTAACCCCGTGGCCCAAGATTTTTCTATCTTGCCGGGGAGGGGAATCGAACGGGGTTTCCCCGTTAAATAAATCTGGCACCGTACCTCACTACCGTTAGGCCATGAGCGGAATCGGTATTCAGCAGCCGTAAAAATTATTTGAGCCAAATACGAGTATTGACTTATGCCCGCCATACTAACATACATCAGGCAACGTCATATCATCCCACCGTGTAAGTGTTATCAGAGCTAGGCCGCCTGGCCTAAAGCTTCTCCTACGTTGCCACCTCAATTCTATATTTTGTGAACAACGTTCAAGTTACTCATTCCCTTGAATGCCGCGTACGAAC